TTCAAATGGATATTCAACAAAAAACTAGAGGATTCTTCAATTTAATAAATTCTTATATATTATTTGTTCTCTTTATCAACAATTGATTATTAAATATCACTAGCTAAAATATGGACTAAATTCCCTATATTTTTTGAAAATTAATTACCATTATAAATAGGGCTCAATTATCCTCCATGTTGATCATCTAAATATTATTTGCATCTAATAGATTTGACACAAATACTATATAATTGTATAGTGTTCACAAAGTTCACACAACTACTAAACAATCGTATAGTGTTTGCAAATTGAAGATTGCGAAATTACAGCTAAAATTATGAGTACAATTTTTCAGATTATACAATCAAGACAGCGTGTCTTATTAATGCTAAATGATCATGATCTCAACTTTTTAATTAGTGTCCGTTGAGATGTCGATAGATGGTTTAATAATATTGTTTGTTAAACAAATCCAATTAATATAATTGATAAGGGTAATTGACACAAAACATCCCTATCTTTCAAGTTTATTGTGGAAATGTCTATATCTTTCATTTTTTGACATTTTTGCCCTCTTCTTTTCACTTTTCTTTGCGCTGGACGTCCTTTTCACCAATTTTTAACGTAAAATAACCAATATACCCTCATATTTAAATAAAATAAAAATAAAGGATAAATAAAGAATAAATTACAACTATAGGTTCAAACCATTTAAAAAGTGCAAATTAGTTAAAATAAATTATTAAAATATTAAAAATAACAAATTAAAAAATTCTTTCTCGAATTGTATGGTCACAATTTTTTTCTAGGGTTGTGGTTTATTGGGTGTCCGGGGTTGGCTTTTGCCGCAAAGGGTTTGGGTTTGAAGCTTGGGTTGTAGGTAAAGTATGTAATTGGTAGTTCGTATGTGGTGAGTTAACTGTATGGATGATTGTATGGTGGCATAATTAGTGACAGATTAATTATGGATAGTAGGAGTAGTAGTTGGTTTCACCTGTGGTGGAGTTGGTTGTTTCTCAAATACGATAGTGGGGAGAATTTGTAGCGGTTGTGTGTAGGTAATGGATGAAGAAATATTACCCAAGTTTAATTTTGATACCAAGTTTGATGTAGCATTAATTGAAATGATCCAGCAACAGATAAAAAAAAAAGTAGCAAAATGGCAGCAGCAGAAGAGAAGAAGAGTATTAAAGAAGAAAAGCCAGAGAATGAGAAGGAAAGAGGGAGACATGAGCAATATGTTGGACATGGGTTAGGAGTCATCAGAAAGGGAGTTGCCGACAGTTTTGGTTGGTACAACTGACAAATTTTGGAGTCGGCCAATTCACCTGGAGTTAGGGTCAACTGTTGGGTGGGTTGTGTAGACGACGGTAAGGGCTTCAAGTTCGTATTATGGTTCAGTGGCCATGGTGGTGGTGAAAATCATAACTAGGTGGAGGAGGGGAGGAAAAGAAGAGAAGAGAGAGTTTTTTTTTTTTTTTATATTTTAATAAAGCCTAATAGCAAAAAATATCCCTACGTTTGACGCTTCTTGCGAAAAACGTCCATACATTTTAGTTTTTTTTTTTTTTTTTTTCGTTTTTTTCCCTTGTAGCATTAATTGAAATGATCCAGCAACAGATAAAAAAAAAAGTAGCAAAATGGCAGCAGCAGAAGAGAAGAAGAGTATTAAAGAAGAAAAGCCAGAGAATGAGAAGGAAAGAGGGAGACATGAGCAATATGTTGGACATGGGTTAGGAGTCATCAGAAAGGGAGTTGCGGACAGTTTTGGTTGGTACAACTGACAAATTTTGGAGTCGGCCAATTCACCTGGAGTTAGGGTCAACTGTTGGGTGGGTTGTGTAGACGACGGTAAGGGCTTCAAGTTCGTATTATGGTTCAGTGGCCATGGTGGTGGTGAAAATCATAACTAGGTGGAGGAGGGGAGGAAAAGAAGAGAAGAGAGAGTTTTTTTTTTTTTTTAAATAATTTATTTGGATTAATTTGCACTTTTTTTAAAGGTTGGGCCTATAATTACAATGTATTCTTTATTTCTCTTTTTTTTATTTAAATAGGAGGGATATTGGTCATTTTACGCTAAAAATTGGTGAAAAATGACGTCCAGCACAAAGAAAATATGAAAGGTATGGGCGAAAATTCCAAAAAATGAAAGATATTGACGTTTTTCACAATAAATTTAAAAGATATGGACCTTTTATGCAAATTACCCTAATTGATAACAAAGTACTTTCCATTTTTGTTCAGAAAATGCTATTACGAATCATACCAATATCACACTTGTCTCTATTATAATTGGCTAATGATAAGATACTAACTTTTTTTACCTAATTATTTTGATAGTACAGTATATGTAAAATTGATCCATCACAATGCACCGAGATGGAAAGTAAATAATGCTAAAAATAAATGCGTCGTTTGAACCCTTATCCCAAATGGTTGATATTTTATAACGTTAAAAAATGATTATCAATTTGATTCTACACTTCTCTCAGCATTAAGTGAAGGGATTAACAAACTATAAACGATGTACAAATGCTTTATTATATAAAATTATAAATCATTGCACAAGCTAATTCGAAAGATAATTTATTTAGATGCATTTACTGACCAAAGAGTGCAACAATATCTCATGCATCAATTTTAAATGTTCCAACAAGACTTGATGTCCTAGGAGGACAATTTATTAGCGTTATATTTGATATATCTATGGCACGTGTGAAGCGTGATGATATTCCATTCTAATACAAAAATCTCCAAATGAAAATGGAGCAATTAGCAAATATAGTCTCATTAAAGAGTCTTATGCTCTTGATAAGTATTTAGACATAAATTATAAAATCCCAAAAGAAGTTCAGGAATCGGATATGTTGAAAATTGAGATATCTCAATAAGTTACGTAATTATACAAAAGAAATGAATTCAAAATAGAAAAAGTTGTTCACAACACTTTTGCAAATGATGTATTGCGTCACATAGAAAGGAATCGAAATAAATACATCAAAATATATCGATTGAAGTAATGATTGGCCAAATAAAAGGGGCACAATCCTGAATTGAGTTTACTAGGAAAACTTGAAATTTTTGAACCTATAATCTGAAAATCTAAATGCATGTACTTATGCGAAAAAGAAATGAGAAAGATGAAGTCGTAGCATGTATTGCACGACTCTCGACATAGTTAATTTTTCAAATATCGTGGTTGATGAAACCACAAGTACATATCATGTTATCTTGACAATGCATGAAATTTGAAATACGTGATAATCAACTCAATTGACATGACTATTAATGTTATTCCTAAATGATTTAATATGCTTGGATCATAATTCAAGTAATATTATTTTTTACTCTTTTTCCTTCACCAAGGTTTTGTCTTATTGTGTTTTCCTAACAAATTTTTTAATAAAACAATACTCGTTGCATATTCAAAAGAATAATGTACTATTTTCCTTCATTGGGATTTTTTCTACGGGTTTCTCTTAATAAGGTTTTAATGAGACATATTATTTGTCTAATGAATGTCCATAACATACAAGACATTTACCCTCGAAATAATATTTTTATATATATGAGACTCCCGAGTTTCGAAGAGATTAACAAGAGCGATTTTTTGAATCATTATGTTACTGTAGGTATCAAATTTTATCCTACAAAATTTTTTTAAAGATACTTATGGACAAGATATCAATATTAAACACGCTGACATACAAAAGATGGATCACTTAATACAAGAATTCAAACTAGGAGAGTAGCTATATTTTTTTCCCTTCAATCAAAAGTTGTCCTATTAGGTTTTCTTGACAAGGTTTTAATGAGATAGCATTTTATTACTTCAAATAATTTGTATGCTTTTATCATTTGCCGGCATTTTTGTCCAAATCGAATTTTTATCAAATAATATTTCAATAAGATAGTTATCATGTAAGTATAATAGTATTTATGAATGACTTTTATCCTCCTGCAACTACAGTAATTATGATTGTTGTATTCCTTATAGCTCTAATTATTCCCTATAAATAATACCTCACTCTTAATAAAACACACAAGTTTATTGATGTTTATTCTCTCCTGTCTTTTTCTCTCTTTTATAACATTAATGTCATTTCAATTTTGAACAGACTTTAGTAACAGTGGCTAAATTAACCCTTTAAATTAAAGATAAATTTAGAGATTTGGATCTTGACTAAGATTGGTTAACTGATTAACTAATTGAAAAGTAAAATAGAAGTCTCCAGCATTCAATGATGCGGGAAACTTTGGGCTTGGCTTGGAATACGTAATGAATGGATGGTTTGATTGAATGTAGAGCTTACTCCACGGGATAAGACTTCTACTAGAGGATATGAGACTTTTGTTCGATACAAAAGATTCATCAACAAGGGGGATAAGTATAGGTAGGTGGGGGGGATGGAGAGGAGAGGATCAGAACTTTGCCCCTCTAAGTGCCCCATGGGGGGAGATGAGAACTCAAGGCTGTTGGCAGTAGCATCAATGGATGGAAAGACCCAAGTTTATTACGCAGCTTAAAGTTTGTACAACAACATAGAAATAAATACAATTGATTATTTACAACTATTCAATCCAACTTTCTAAATCATTTAAGCATCTGACGGTATCTTAGCATGCCTCTCCGAATCATATACAGTCGAGCAAATAAAACAAGCAAGTGAATTAACAAATAGACGTTTATATACATTCTATGAATTGTGTTCGACATTAATTTACGTGCCTTTTCAGAAATAGGGCAAGACAACAATGTGAACTCGTGGAACTGAGCTCCTCTGCCAGAAAAAAGTGACACAGGCCTTGACCGACGCTCACATTAGGGGTTGGAGCCACTTTTTCCTCCCAATTGTTTAATCATGTGGGGCCCAACATTGTGAGAGGAGGTCAAAGCCTCTTATCACTGATTTTTTTGGCAGGGGCTTTTTCCGAACTCGTAAGTAGAGTAAGGAACAAGCCTCAAGCACAAAGCACGGTGCCCTCATCTTGCTTGCTTCCTTAAAAAAAAATAATAATAATAATAAAATTATCCTCTATTGGCAAAGTACTTGTACCAGTGGCAAAAATTACAATTCTGAGGATGAAAGTTATGTCGAGCATTCATAATCTAGGTCACATAAAGTGAGAGAGAAAAAGAAGCTAAAATCTTGTTAGTTTCCATGTCACGTACTAAGTATACCTTCATCGGCATAATTTATTCTTCCAAGTATGAAGTTATCTAAAATGTACGCTCATATAATCTTAAAAAATATAGCCTTGAGATTATTCTGCAATGAACATCCCATGAAAAATGTTGTTTTACAGTTCAGACAAGATCTCCTGGACCAGGAGAACGCAGAACTATGCTTTTACCAATTTCTGCTGCTTTATTTCTTGAATTACGCCATCAGCAAGTGAATCAGCGTCTACATTCTTGCCGAAAAACTTGACAAACTGCATATTTGGGTCCATCAGATACCTGCGACATTTACAAACCATATTTACAAGATTTTAAAACATGTTGGAGAGTAGTGATTAAACAGTTCAAATTATGTATAAATAGAAATGAGTTGTGAACAAGTGGATAGTACTTGTGGGTCTTACGAAATATGTACTAAAAAGTGAGTTGACCGATTATAAAACAAGGCCCAACAATCTCATCAAACTTGTTAGAATATCCACTTTTCACGAAGATTAAACCTCACAATAGGTCCAAAACTTCCGCACGAAATGCCCAAAACATTCTTTATATCAGGGGAAAAAGAGAGAAATGAATAGCTTTCTATATCAGAACTACAGTTTCCTCCATAGAACAACCCCATTTCCATCTCTGTTCGGCTGAGAACCAACTTCAGCCTATCCAGTTAAGTACTGTGACATTGCAAATCCTTTCTAAAAATGCCATAGCTGTTGTGGGGCCTTAAGAGTACACAATAAAGCACTGAAAATTTTTCTCCAATTCCCACTGCACGTGAAAATTTCATCCGAGCCATTAATAGTTGATTATTTCAATCAATATCAAGCTACACCCAGAAACCCGCTCATAGGAATGCAATTGACAAACCACCGCCACTTGTTTAGCCAGCTTCGCCTAATGTCTTGGTATAAACTAAGTCCGCTGAGGTACCATTCCAGATGTAAATTTTCCCCTCAATATCACTGCTCTAACCACAAGATATAGAAGTACACATATGAAAGAAACAGGAGGAACTCCAATGCCCTGGAGCCTTGTCCAGCAATTTCCTCACCCACGTGAAAATTTACTGATGAAGCGCAACCTAACCATGATCAATACTATGACATTTTATTGACAAGGGCACCTAAAAATCTAATATGTTCAACGAAAAATCACCTCAAACTCTCCTTGTTCCTTGAGATTGAAAAGTTAAGAAAGAAGAGAATTAAACTGTGATTTTTCCAATAACAACTGGACAAAATTAATCTAAATGAATGCTTGAAAATGCTAGGCATGCAGCGGACCAGTTAGGAAGATGACGGAGTTATAAATTGAGATTGATATGTATCAGTCTTGGCATAATTTGAGTGGTGGAGGATAATACATACATGACTATTGAGTGATCAACAAGGTAATCTGAGCCTTCTTCTTCTGTCTTCATATAGTATACTCGATAAGCACGTGCAGCTTTCTTAATTTCATCCGGGCTACCAGTTAATCCAATCAACTTTGGATGAAATTCTGCATGGTGAAGTGGAATCATTTTTAAACCATAAACTTTTAGCTGGGACGACCATGTAAAGAACAAGTCAGAATCACAAATGAAAATTTACCTTTGACATACTCAGAAACTTGTTCAACAGTATCCCTTTCTGGATCAACTGAAATGAACACGGGCAGTACTTCCAATCCAGATTTTTCTTCTACAAATGCAGAAAAATGAGAAACCAAGTATTTTGGCAAAATTTAACCAAATATAAATCAATGCAAGAACAAATTTAAGGTGTACAAGTTTTAAACCTATCCTAGATTAAATAATAACAGACAAACCCCACCAATGTCAGTCAACAAACAATATTTCAACTGCTTCCATCATCACAACATAAAATGATCACAAAGATGGCATCACAATGACAACCACAAAGTAAAATCGAGAAACTTACTTATTTTATCAATTGCAGCAGCAAGCTTTTGTAGCTCATCCGGGCATATATCGGGGCAGTGAGTGAAGCCAAAATAAATCAAGTTCCAGTTCCCTAGAAAGTCCTTATCAGTGACAGCTTTCCCATTATGGTCAATGAGGTTAAATGGACCCCCAATAGCTGGTTTCCCAACAGAGGGTCCCTGTCTCACAGCATTTGAAGCACTATTTATTCCTGCAAAACATAATTGAAGAAAGACAAGTAAAATTCATTGTGGAATTCCATTAACAGTAAATGGAAATACAGTAAAAGGAATCCAAATGCAAAAATTATAACGATTCACATTATTAAATACTTGGATAATTTGTTTCAGAGAGAATATCTTTCCATTAGTTTATATTCAATATTACGTCACCTAGTCATTGACCCTTTAGTTATCTCCCACCTCTCCTTTATATTATTCTTCTGTACTGTTCGACAGGGTAGCACCAATTGAAAGGTCGGGAGCATTCATGTCCAATGATGATGACGACCATGCAAAACAGTGAAAAATTAACATGTTTAATGAAAGTGTAGGTGTACAATAAAGCACGGTATTTGGTGCTCTAATACCCACTGAAAGTGAGAGGTCCTTGATGGAGTGTGACAGACAACAACTGAATAGAGAACTTAAACATTAACATGTATTACTTTCGGGTGATGCTTTAATGATTATTGGATCAAATTATTTATCTTGTTTTATCCTTCAAAGGGTTAAAAGGAAATCTTGTGGACAAAAGAGATGAAATTCTATTCAAAAAAAGAGCCAGACAACTGCCCAGAGACACTACATCAGTCTTAAAATCTTGGTGGCATTCACATTCCAAGAGGCCTTATCCAACAGTAATCATAATTACAGACCTCTGTTGCTGTAATATAATTTTGAAGCACGTTTACCCTATCAAACATGATGTTGAAATATTGGCATGCAGACTGCTACTGAGGGTATAAGGTCGTGTTTTAGAAAAATGGTGTTTTAAGTCTACTTTTACCCTTTACAAGAACATTTTAATTTATTTATATATTGCTCATCAAAAGAACATGAGGATCCTTGTAATATTGCAGGTCGTATAACAATCTTACATAATTCCTTTTAACTTCATATGAATTTGCTGACCTAAAAAATTTCAGAGGCACTCGTATGCCAAATAAAGACACACATTTCTAACAGCTATGTTGTATCCCGTTCTTCAGGAGGAAGATAAAGCTACATTCAGCAATAAACAGGCTTGCAACTAGAACATATTAACAATTGTTTCGTCAATCATCCACTAAAGTAAAGGAACTGGCCATTCTACCATCCATTTCTGGTATGCCCCTTGGTTCGTCCATAATTACTGACAGTGAAAGCAATAAAAAAAAATTCGGTGCCAATTTAGATTCTATATTCTAGGCAATTCCTCATCACGGGTCTCCAACATCTGCCTGGTGATCGTTGCCAATAACCCCACATCACTAAGACTGTCTGACACTGACAGTCTCCAAAGATTAGCTAATAGCCTCTGGCGACAGGCTGGTGATCATCAACAGCTACCTGATGGTCATCAATGACCGAGATCCCGGGTAACTCCACAGTAGTCGTCATCTAATTGCCAGCAAGCCAGTGCAGTCGAAATGGTGATTGTGGAGTTTATCTCTCATAGAAGTTGTAAGTTAAACCCCTAATTGGCTTAGTTTTTTCATTGAAACAAAAAACATTTTCAATTGGACAATTTCTTCTGGCACACCAAACATTGGAAAATCCAAAATAAATATATAAATAAAAAGAGACCAACAAAACAAAGTTCAAAGAAACAAACAAAACCTTAGTGGATTACTGGAACACTTAAAGGTATAACAAGACAGCCCCAGAAAATTTATACTAGATGGTATCAAACAATTCCCTTACCATGGATACCAAAAAGGTCCTCTGTCCTTGTCCAAGAAACAATAACAAAAAGGTTTAGCTCAGACAATAAAATACAAACGAGAAACCATATTCCCGAACATATGTAAATAAAATCCAACACCACCTCAGAAATGTTCTCCTCTCATAATCAAGAGCACACAAACCTTACAGCATCGCTTCTCCATCAGATTTATTACTTCTACAATACCCCCACCTCAAAAAGAACTTCTCTCCGCCATCAACAAATCAAAGTGCAGAATTGAATCTTATTGGTGTAAATCTAGGCAAAGGATTTAATTACTTCCGATCAAAATTAAAAAAGCATGTCGTGATTGCAAAGGACTGGTTACTACTAGATGTTTCAATACATGTAGCAATGATTTGAATGAAGTGACAGAAATATATTCATGTATAAGACCTCAAACATATTGAAGCTAACCCTTAGCTAGTTGTTGATGATTATTGAATGAATAACTGAATCCAAAACAATTAAAATACCTACAGCTATCATTCCTAAAAAAAATTATCACCTTCTTAACTGAATTTTGTTATGCCAAAAAACATTGCAAGAAAAGAGTATGAAACTGATCCTAGAACAACATCATACAAGTACAGCCACAATTGTTTTTTAAAAACAAAAAGACAACACCACTTGTCTTTTTGGTCCCCATACCCTCTTATCCAAACTCCAATGGAAACAATAAGCATTTCAGGTAATCAACTTCATAAATTGAAAGAAATAAGCAAAATCACCAAATCAGATTTCAAAATCAAGAAATAACCAGAAGCATCCATGAATGTTCAAACCATGAGTATACACACCACAACTCACCATAGTAATCTAACCTTCAATGTGCCGTTTCTTTTCCCTGTCATAGTAGTAAACCAATCCCGCTCCTGTGCAAAGAAGCAAAAAGAAGCTCATCCACGAAACAGGCTGTTAACATTGGAAGTTCAATCAACCATCAATTCAGCAATATAACGAAAACTAAAACTCGTTAAATCCAAGAAAAAAAATTAACTAATAAATATAACAGTTCCACTGACCTCTTCAGCTAACAAAACTATTTTTGATGATAGGAAAACTACGAAAATCCATTATAAACGATCATAACAAAAGTGGGCGAAAAGAATTACCCCACCGCGAACTGGCTTCCCTAGCGATCCACCAGAACCCTTTCCATCATTATTGTTACCAGAATTACCCTCCGACGATCTACTCGCCGATGTTCCAGTTACATGCGCATTTGAATTTGATTGATTAATACTGCTACCAGTAGCAGTCGTGCACAAAAATCTAAAATTAATTGCTGCAAAAGCGGGGGGGAAATCCGCTGTGAAAGGTCGAGAATTTCCGGAAAGACTATGAAATGAGGGTTTATTGAGACGGCATTGAGCAGTAAGGGAGCCATAGATACTGCGAAGACGTAAGCTTCGAGAAATTGACGAAGCCATTGCTACTGGCATTGAAATTCCACGTTTGAGGTTTTGGAATTACTCGTTCCGAAGGTAAAGGGAGGTGTATGGATTTTAAAACTCCATTTAAATTGAGTATGTCGATTTAAATATAATTCATTAAAATTTATGTGTCTCCAATTTAAATTTTTAGAAATATTTATAAATTTATGTGTTCTCAATGTACATTTTAATAGGTAGTTTTGAAATTTAGATCTCCTCAATAACTAGTTGATTTATAAAGATTTCATTAAATAAATAGATTTTGAAGGATTTCAAGGCAAAAATATAAATACAAAAAATCTGTAACAATTTTATCCCAACACTACAAATTTCACAACTTTTCTCTCCTTTCTATAGATTTGCTGCCCACTCTCTCTCTCCCCCCATCTTGAACAAGATTTTATTCTTCTTTCTATCTCGCATTTCTCTACTGTGAAAAGATCATGTATGGGAACTTATCAATTGATGATAATTTATGAAAGATTACTATTTTTTGTTGAATATTGAGTGTGATTTTTTATTGAACTAATTTTTTCTTATTGACGCTATATATTGTTTACTATTTTATAGATGTGCTGGAAATTATTATGGTAATTTACAGTTCCTAGTATGCATACTGGGACAACTACGTCTTTCAAGTTCTGTACCCTATTCCTTTTTATTGGGAAAAGATGTGTGTTTTCTATATATACCTGCAAATTCTAGCCATGACATATGAGGATGGTATCCCATAATTTTTTCTTTTGTGCCTGCATGGTCAATGAGAATTCTGGAGCATGGAATTAATTGCCTTCTTGTGTTTGTATCTCACAAGGTTGTGGTCTTTTGAACTAATTCATATTGATTGCGACTTTGATTATTTAACGCTACAGATTTTTTTCCTCTCTCACTCTTGCATTTTGTTGAATTTGTTGAATATTTGTGTGTGATTTTTTATTGAAGCTCTGTTACAATATTCAATGTTTAACAAACAATTGAATAAGGATTCGATCATTTTTTGTGATTTATTAACGTGCATATGTGTAAGAATGAGTTGTTAAAGAAAAAGCAAAATTTTGTGGCTTATGTTAAGTATATTTATAAATTTTACACAGAATCTATAAAATCCATGAAATTTTTTTAAAATCTACAAAGTAGAAATACATTCAAATCTTATGAGATCTGTTAAATTCTATCAAATTTCACACAATCCATGAGAATTTATAAATATTAAGAAATCTATTAAACTCTGAAATGGGGACACCCCCGTAAAACTTTATGAGGAGGAAGAGCGTATTCGTAGCGCTATTGTTTAGACTTTAATATGGGTTGGGACGTCTACGACTCGAGTGGATATTCAAGGTTCGGGTCAGTTCGAATAAAATTAAGCCTTGTTTGGTCCCCATTACGTGGAAAAATTAATGGGTGGAATAATATTTTTTTGAAAAATGAGTGGTTCAAAAAGAATGAAAAGTTTTCGATTTACGTGTAATATTATTTTATGGAAGATTGTGTAGTTGAAAATAGGAGAGAGAAAAATGAAATGGAATGGAATGAAAATTAATGAGGTTCAAAGAGGGCTTAAGTCAAAACTTTTTTTTGTCCGAGTCGAATCGAGCAAAAGCTCGATCAAAAAATTGAGGTTTGGCAAAGTAGAGCAAAACACAATTGCTTCTTTTTGGGGCCTATTCGGTAGTGATTTTGAGAATTGATTTTTTAACGGTTAGGAAAAAAGTGGGGGCCACCTGTAAAAGAAAAAAGTCAAAAATTACGGTTGAAATAATGAAATAACGATCAAAAAATCAATTTTTTGGGGTGAGAAATTACTCTCAAACGGGGCCTTGATTTTATGAGCTAGCCCTATGAGTCACACGAGTCGATTCAAGCTCAGTTCAGTGCCTCAAAATGCGAGGCTCGCCCAAGCCGCAGACGATTTGAGCCGACTAGTCCAATTGACATCCCTAAATATGTAGACACTTCACAAAAATCATCTTGGAGACTTGAACTATTATTATTTTATCGACAGATTCAAAAGTTAATTTTAAGCACTTTCCAAATAGAAAGTTCTTTTAAAAATTTATTTACAAACAAAATTTAATAGAACTTCTTTCAAAAACTCGTCTATAATAAGTAAAAGTCATGTCAAATTGGTCCAAAAATCTGACCTATTGATAACAAATAATGCAATCAATGATAATGAATTTTGCTATACGTACGCTAACGTTGACACGCCATTCACAAGAGGGAGGGGCGTGAATCCTCCCTCTTGTGAAATGTGAGAGGCACGTACAGTATACAAATAGCAAAATTCAAGTGATAATAGAGCACCAATTTATACAACATTACATAATAGAGTCAATTAAAGATGAAATTACGACCAAACCCAAAACCCCTTTCTGTCTATATTTAGGGTCTAAGCATCATTTTAATACCACCCAATTGAACATTGTCTCACCTACGAAGCATTTGTGCCATGTGCAGCAAAATCACCATAAAGTTCTTCATTTGGGGTCTCAAAAACATTTGTGCCAATAAGTTCACAAATTTATTTCGTTTATATTGTTAACTAAAATAAAAAAATTTCATGAACCATACATCGATTATAATTTCAAGAGTCAAATAAATTACAATGTATTCGACGTGTATAAGGTGCGTAGATTTTCCATTTCTGTTTAATTTATAAATTTTGTAACAGAACATTTCACTAAAAATGCTATAAAGGTGAAATAATAATGGTAGACAAGAAAACACCGTAACAATACAAGAAATTCAATCCTCATGCCCACAAGCATTATCACCTTCGATATAAAAGTAAAATATAAGTGTAAAGTTGGCTTGTATGACTGTCTACAGCATGAGATAATCCCCCAATGGTCATCGAACTTCAAAACGTCTTTAAATAGTCAATGAATTTTGCCGAAATCCTCCAAGAGGTCACCGAACTTCAAAAAGTCCCTAAGTGATCACTCAACTTTGCAAATTGGGGCCCCATACATCACCAGCTTAATGACCTCTTAGAGACTTTTTGCAAAGTTCAATGAAGGGACATTTTGAAGTTCGGTGATCGCTTGGGGGGCTTTGACAAAGTTCAGTGACTATTGAGGGACGTTTTGAAATTCAGTGACCTCTTGAGGGGATTTTGACAAAGTTCAATGACCATTGGGGGGATTATCTCTCTATAGCATCACTGGTTCTTGAAAAACATGGAAGAAAGCAGCTTCCATTATACAATACTAAAACCTTCACTACAAAAACCAATTTGACTTAGGCAACACCGAGTTTTGACGCATCGTTCACTTGCTCAACAATTTCTTTCCTCTTTGAGTTACCCCGTTTGGCCCCCATTAAGTTCCATTACATTATATTTCATTTTTTTCTTTTCTATTTTCAACCACATAATTTTCTAGAAAATAATATTATATGTAAATCGAAAGTTTTTCCTTCTATTTCAACCACCAATTTTTTTTAAAAAAAAACGTTATTCCAGCCATCTTCATTTTCGAAAAATGGGGCCCAAACGGGGCATATAAGAGACTGCGCAAATGATGAAAATAGATTCGATCATATGAAAGTCAAAAGTGACTGGTTAACTGTTACAATCACATTGAACAGAACTCACTTTTAAAACTACTTTGTATTGAGAGAGTTCTAAAAGGGTTATAAATAAGCGAAGCTTAACTTAGTCACACACACAACTAGAGTCATTACAGTCTACAACCTATTTCATACTGAACTCCACAATGGCCAAAATCTCCAGTTCAGTGACTCCATCGAATAAATCTTCTAACAAAAGTAGACCTCCCCAAGTTGCCCGTCTCCAACGAAGGTCATCACCAAAATGGAACAGAGAATAATATTATAAACAATATGGGCTATCAACTGAAAAATTAGAAAACATGACCTTCAACCTTTATGAAAGTATTAAAAAGATCCCTAAAAATCAAGTGGAGAATTCAACCATCTGACCCTAAAATCCACGGAAGGCCCATTTGACAAATGATTTTGAAAAATCAAAAATTGCTTTTTAAGTGTAAGAAGTTGTTTTTGAACATGTTTTAATAATTTTTTGAAAATACTTTGCCCAATTATAAGAGCTTATAAAGAAGCTGGCCTAAAATAACTTTTTCAAAAAATTCTTCAATAAGAATCAAAGGGTGCCAAACAGGCCAAGAGTCACTCAGGAAAGCCTAAATAACTGTATAAGTTTGGCAAATGAGCAGAAGAGATAATTTTCTATTAATCAAAGTTGAAAACAAGAAGGAAACTTATTTTAACAATAAGTAATTATCCAAACATAACAAAGGTCCTCTAATTTCCTATGGTCTTTCCAAATAGTGGAGAATAAACATAATTTCAATGATCTCAGCATAAGAAAAGGATAACTTTAGCAGTAAAAGAATATATTTTTTTCTCGTTGAATGTACAAAAAATAGAATAACATCAAGTGCGAAATGTAGAAATTCATTTCAACATTCAATGTAAATCACTCGGAAAAAAATGGATGAGCTTCAGACCAATAAAATTTTGATAGAAAATTTGTGGTCATCTCCACAATCATTACAAGCCTACAGCGTCATCATCGGCAAACGCCCAATCATTGTAAACATTCGATTTACACAATCAAAAGGAAAATTACATTTCACTATTTTCTTATAAAACTACAAACTGGTAAATGAAGAGCGAGAAGGCATAAATCAAGTATCCTGATGTCGATTTCATTGACAATTATGTCATTAGCCACACAAGATAAGTAGCTGTAAGTGCGTGTCTGATTGACATTATTTTTTATGAAAAATATCATTTTTCCATCCAAATTCATACTTTTTGAGTGTTTGATTAACAATTTTTTCATGAAAAATATTTTCTAACTTTTGGTCACATGACTATATTTTCCTCAAAAACAAAGGAAATATTTTCTTTATGGAGAGGTGATTTTTTTTTTCTTCAAGTAATTCACTATCTCTTTCTCTCTCATCTATCCCATTTTTGTTTCATCTATCCGCCAAAAAAAGAATGGACAAGTACTATAATTTTTAGGTTGAAAATTAAATGAATCAAACACGTTTAATTAATGATTTTCATAAAAATAAGTTCTAGGCAATTACCTAGAATTTATTTTCTTTCCATACAAATTTCATGTTCGCAATCAAATGTACTCTAAATAAAATTTCTACCTCCGAATAAAAATGTAAAATATGAAGAGAAGTCGTTGACTTAATAAAAGAAACCATTTATTTATCACTTTATGTAATCTCGCTTTAGGGCTTCTAAGTAGATAAATAATAATAATAATAAAATTGGGGTTCCAATTATTTAGGTAATTATATTCATATAGAAGTTTTATTAGTTGAACCACGTTTTAATTAGGACCTGTTCGATAATCATTATGAGAATTAATTTTTTAACAATTAGACAGAAAAGTGATTAACACCTATGAGTAAAGAAGTAAAAGGTAACAGTTAGAATAATGAAATGACGATAAAAAAAAATAAAATTTTAGGGTGAAAAATTGCTACCAAACGGGACTAAAGATTCAAGGTCCTAAATTTTTATTTTGTAACATTTTTGTCCTTTAATATTTTTGATGTATTCTTATTCTCACCTTTCCATTTATTAAAACATTAGGCCCTGTTCTCTTTACCGTTTTCGGGTCGTTTTCTGTTTTCGATTTTTCAAAACGGTGAAAACGTGTTCTCTTTCCCGTTTTCGAAAACGAATTTTCGAAAACGTTTTCGAAAACGAAAAAAATTTGTGAAGAAAACACAAAACGACTTTTTTGTCGTTTTGGGCGTTTTCAGTGTAAAACTTGAAAAAATTGAAAATGCGGGAAACACTTTTTTTTTTTTTTTTTTTTTTTGAGGAGGTGGTGTGGTGATTCTCAAAGTTTCAAAAAAAAATTAAAAATTAAAATTTTTTTTTTTGAGGAGATAGTGTGGTGATTCTCAAAATTTAAAAAAAAAAATTAATTTTTTTTTTTTGGTGTTTTGAGGTGGTGTTGTAGTGATTCTCAAAATTTTAAAAAAAAAAATTATTTTTTTTTTGTTTTGAGAAACTAACAAAAAGAACGCATTTTCAAGAATTTTAAAACAAAAACTCAAAATACAAAACTCAAAATGAATTCAAAACTCAAAACACAAAACTGAAACACAAAGAGAACACCCCCTTAGTCTCTGACAATAGTTTTTATCCAAAAACTCCATTGAAGATGTATAACAGCTTATTACCCATCACATTTTTAAAAAATAAAAAATTTAAAAGCATGATAAAATATTTTTAGTCACGTCAAAGTACATAATCATAATATTTTGATATGAACCATCATCAATAACAAAATGTGACAATTAAAAAAATTGAAATAAGAATTCGACAAAAAAAGGCTAATGGCACACGTATTACAACAAAAGAAAAAACATATTGAAGATTTAGCCCCATTAAATTTCATTTAATTTTTTTATCTCCTTTTTTTAACCACACAATCATTCATAAAATAATATTATATATAAATAAAAAAAATTATTTTTTTCAACTAATTATTTTTAAAAAATACTATTTCACCCATTTTTATTTCAAAAAATGGGGGCAAACGGGGCTTAATTACAATTGTAGCCTAATTATTAAAAATTGTGGCGTGAAATAGCAAAAATGTAATTCTAACGACCTTAGCCCATTATCCGCGTCATCCAGAAAATAGCACATTCTACACAGTTGATACATTCCTCATCAAGGGATAGGATTCACCAAAATCAACTCGACGCGGATCAGGATTTTAAACCATTGATACACACATAAATCCAACGGCTGCACATCATCAGCACATCTAACCTCTCTCTATATATACAAACACACCCCCAACCAATTCAACCACTGATTCAAGTTCCATCTCGGTTATCAACGCAACACAGAAAAAGAAAAAATGTCAGGGCGGGGAAAGGGCGGCAAGGGTTTGGGCAAGGGCGGAGCGAAGCGCCACCGTAAGGTTCTCAGAGATAATATTCAAGGCATTACCAAGCCAGCGATTCGGCGTTTGGCTCGTAGAGGTGGAGTTAAGCGTATCAGTGGGCTCATCTATGAAGAAACCCGTGGCGTTCTCAAGATCTTCCTTGAGAATGTCATTCGTGATGCCGTCACCTACACTGAGCATGCTCGCCGCAAGACTGTTACGGCAATGGATGTTGTTTATGCTCTCAAGAGGCAGGGCAGGACCCTCTATGGCTTTGGTGGTTAGAAAATTAGGCTTCTGATGAAATAATTTGTAATTAGGTTTTTGTTTCGGAGTTGACATTATTGCATCATCTCAGTTAAATGAAATTTGGTTTTCATAATTTTTTATCTTATCCGATTTCAATTCGTTTTTATTATGGATTCCTGATTGTTAATTTGTCAAATTGGTATTTGGTTTTACTTCTAAATTCTTGGTTAGTGCAGTAACACTGTTTAGGATGTTAAAGGGCATGTTTGATTCATATTAAAATTTGATTTTAATTAGTTTTTGATAGTTTAATTTTATTGGATTACAGTTCATTATTCATTACTGGTAATTGTCAATATGTAGCATAGCTGTAATGGGGTTGGAATTCTAGTTTAGGTGGTATTGTTTGGTTTGAATTAAAATTTGATTTTAATCTAAATAAAAGTTAAATATTTTTAGTATTAATTATGTTTTTTATGGGTTTTATAATTTTTTAACCATGCATTTTGAATTTTTTTTGTTACAATTTACTAAAAAAAATTAATTTTAATTTCTACCAAACACTTTTTAAATTAAAGATGGAATTAATTGATATCTATTTAATATCATTTTAGTGCTATTTAAATTGCAAATGCAATTTTAGTTGGTTAAATAGTATTATTTTTTAATGCATCAAATAATAAGTTGATATATGATATTATGTTACATAAGATGATTATTGATAGTTTCTCATGATTAGTGTTATCATTAGGGTAATGTTGTACAACATGGGGTTATACCCTTTTCACAAGGTTCACGCATGTGGAGGGTGTAGACTCATATCATGAACATGTAACATCATTTTTATTTTTATCGAAGTAGCAATTTCGAAGAGTGGTTGTGGCACGTATGGAGGACTTGAATTCATATTTTCCATTCAACTGAGTTACCAATTTATTCATCAATCCATTTTCCTAACACTACACTATTGGAAAGGGCCATGTTCACATTTTTGGTGTAAATTGGACGGCTAGACCACTTTGTTGATGGGATAGAAACTTATTATTCGTGTGCCAGCAACAATTAACCAATGTTTTATTGGATCCACCAATTTGAAAAACAACTGATTTTTTTTTGAAAGGACAATTGCTAGCGTTGAATTATCGGTGAGTGTGGAGGATTAATTAGAACAGAAGATACTTGAAACAAATAAAAAAAAAATGGAAGTAAAACACATTATTTCAATATGCTAAGCACTAGTAACAACATAACACTAAGACCCTATTTGAGCTTCATTAATTTGAAATAAATGTATTATGTAATAATGATTGATGGAGAATGTGAGGTTAAAAGAGAAGGAAATTTTTTTGATTTACGTGTAATATTATTTTAATGAATAATATATAGTTAAAAATGATTACTGTAAAAAAAAAAAAGTGTGAAGTAAAAGATGACAAACGGGTGCTGAGCAACATTCGCATTATTATTACAATTTCAGAGGATTCTTTATAAAGCTCTTGTGATTTAACAATTCTAACCTCCATCTTTTTTTAGAATAATAAATTTGCTTCATCCATCTATTATATTATTTGATTTTGCACAAATCATTTTCACATGTGGTAATTACAAGTCTATTATGTTATTTGGTTCCAACATGCAAACCAAGCCTATGGTTTAATATGTTTATCAAAAAAGATGAAAACATATTATTTAGGGCATTTTTTACGGGTACTTTTAAAATTGGTTTGGTCAAATCATCCAATTTTCACTTTGACTTGAACAATTGAATATTTTCACAAATGTCTCTTGATTGTTAAAAGGATAAAGATGTCCTTAAATACGTTATACATCTATAAAATATTGTTTTGTTTAAAAGATATTCTACCCTTTTAGTTAACAAATGAAAACCAAACACTTCCCACTTCAAAATTCAAAATCAAATAACCTTTCTTATATATTTATTTCAACACAGATACAATTTCTCTCATCTCCCATCTACTTCAACCTCGAAATCTCAGTAATTTATTGAATGTTGAACATGAAAGTATTTTTTTTATATCAATCACATCGAATCGGTAAGTGTATTTATGTATGTTTAATTTTGTTGTCGTTAGTTTAGTATGCGTTTTCATTGATAAATCTTATATTCGACATGATTAAAATATATCTATAATTTTTTTAAGCAAGGATAAGAAAAAAACCATTTGTATGTTGAGACTGATTGACAGTAACAATCGAACACTGACCGCAACAATCGACGATTTCAACTGTTAATGGTCAGTTCGCCGGCTGTTTACAATCGGTAACTAACAGCCAGATGTAAAACTTTTTTTTTTTAAATAAATTTTGTTTAGTGGGTTGAACCAAATTTCTGACTATTTTTCTTAGAATTAAAATTTCTGTAGATATGGGTGTAATCCTGATTTTTTACTTTGATAATTTCGAACTGGATGAAAACGATCGATACGTATGAAAATGGACGAGTGATATACATTGAAACATTCCCTTTTTCGTAATAGAGAGTACATCGTATGGGAGAATGTACCACAATTTACACAACAATCTGAAGGTTATTTTTGATATTGAAATGAATTATTTATTAGAATTGAACAAAATGTACACAACTTCGACTACTCTTTGCATGACATTAGTGAAGTTGATGTCGCCGAAGACGAACTCAAAGATTTGAATGGAGCGTATAATAATGCCAATGATTTTTGGGGCATAGTGCAATTAGCTCGTGAGAATGATGTGGTCATTCTCGAGACAGTTGCTCATTATTGTGATTTTATTGTTATGCACAGAATTCCATCTGTAATTCACAACAACGAGAATAAAAATGAATTTACGAATGATGATTTAATTGGTTTATCCCGTCAGAGAATGAGAGGGATGGGAGCTCAAGGGCTGGATCAAGTGGACCGTCTTCTAATTCTTCGCGTATGGTTCCTGATGACGAGAATTTGCATGTCGAGCAACTATTTGAAACAAATAAAGATTTGTAAAAAATTGTGCACTGAATGACTTTAAAATACACCTTTGAGTTCAAGGTATTGAAATCAAACAAATCATTGCTGACGATTGTCTACTTCAACGATAGTTGCAGTTGGCGCTTGCAAGCGACTAAGATGAACACGAATGAGTCATTTGTGGTTCGCAAGTATACACGGGAATAAACTTGTGAAGTGGGAATTTGTCGAAATAATTACAAGCAAGCTCGAGCATTGTTTATTGGGTGATAGACATTCAGACATCATTAACAATGATCGTCGAGAGTATGGAGTGATCATGAGCTACCAGATAGTCTAGAAGGCTAAATAATGTACGTTGAAGGATTTAATGGACTTAACAGAGGAACATTATGTTAAATTGGCCAGGTATTATCATAACATGGGGAAAACTAATTCTGACTCGACACTTTTTTATTGAGACAAAGGGCAAGAATTGCTTTAAGTTTTTCTTCACGTCTCTTGAACATGCATTCGGGATTTCAAAATGGGATGCGATCCGTAATTCTAATTGATGGTACAACTCTGTAAGCTAGATACTAAGATAAGTTGATTATAGCTATAAGTCAAGATGTCAACATTTAAATTTACCCTCTTATAGTCGATTTCAGTTAGAGAGTTTTTCATGTTAACATGCAGTCGCGATGACTACATATCAAGACTTTGCAACAACAATATTATGCTCCCCTTATTGTACGATCGATTTTTGGAGAGTAGCTTATGTTGAGATTATATTTCCTCTATCGAATGAAGTCGAGTGAAAAGTTCTCATCCATATTCTTCTACTTAGTACTTTGTTGCCACCAAAAGTTAAACCGCGTGGCCTGGACTTCTACGTATGTCTAAAATATTATCTACCGAAGAGTTTTCTCGATCGCGTAGGTACGGTAGGTATAGAGCAATAGTACATACTCCCCAATTTATACAAATCAGATTCCCTTAAATGACAATTAGACTGGTGTGTAATGATATCACTGTTAAATGAACTGTATTTGGATATATTTTACAATATTCAAATTAAAAAAATTTAATTTACAATGTTTACATAAATTTTATAATTTTATAATTATTGTATAATTACAAAAAAATTCAAAGTACAATTTTTACATAAAAATTACAATATTTACAATTATTTCATAATTTAAAAAATCAATATACAATTCGGCTCAATCGACTGTTTAACAGTCGTGAAACTGACTATTGCGAAACAGTGTCGACGAGCTCAACTTAAAAATTTTTGCCACTCATTTATAAACCCTAAATATACCTAAATAATGTCTTATAGACATAATATATAACAATTTAATACACAAATTCACGAAACACACAAACAAAGAAATCAATAGTTTAAACCCAAAAGACTAACATTGTTAAAGATAATGAGCGAGTTTTGTGGCGGTCGATGTTGGATAGTCTATGAGAGCGTTCAGCTTGATTGAATCTTGATGGTAAACACTACGTGATGGGGGTATTTTTGAAAAATGGTTATATAAAAATCTATTTTAACTTATATCCTTTTTTTTTTTTTTAAATGGTCAAAGGCCACTGTGAAAATATTGTCGGGTCAAATGGCAATTTCATTGTATATTCTGTAGATTTTTAGTTAATAGATTTTAAGAAAAATGAATTTTTTTAAAAGAATATATAGCTAAAATGTAAGAAAAATTATTGATTCATGTTTAAAATTATTTTACTGAAATAATAAAGAAATTGTGATTGAAAAAGAAATTGGAAAATATAAAAATTTTAAATCATTGTTTGGAAGAGTACAACATATAAATAGGAAGGTGCATAACGCTTTCCTTATTTACGAATTTCCCTTGATAAATTTTTACCCTTGCTCCGTCTCTATAATGCTTCCGTTCAATTCAGTTTTCATTTCAATCGTTCAGTTCAATCATTGAATCATAAAAAACGTTACAACTCGTGATCGAACTCGTGATCCGATTTTTCTGAGCTTCAAATCTTCCGAAATGGAAGTTCAATCAGATTCAACAAGCAATTTCAAGCTATGGAGCGAATTGGAATTACATGAGTTCCCCAACAAATTCGTGATCAAATCCATTGAATCGCCAGATCAAGGATTCTCCATTAGCCGCTTCGACGGGAACATCAATAACCTCGACGGTCAATTTTTTGCTCTCTTTTTACCCCGTGAAAATTACAAAATTTGTTTCGAGTTTCATTTAATTGCACAAAAACTGAAACGAACAAAAAATGTAAATGCTTATAGAATTGAGGCATCATTTGCTTAAATTGTATATTTACCTTAAGAGAATCCTTGTTAGTTTTCTACATACACTTTGGCAACAGTTCTTCATGTTGATTACAAGAAGATAAAGTATGTGTTGATAATAATGAGTAAGCGACAAAAATATCTATATGTGAAAAAGGTTGCACGATTTCTGGTGGTTGAACGATTCTGATTAAAAAGTGTCATACTGACGTCTTCAATGATAAGTAGTTAAAATGTTGATGCATAGCCAAATTTGAAAAGCTGCAGCAGACGGGAGTGGTGATTCACGACACAGGAGGAACAGTAATTGCAGCAAGCTTGAAGAGATATACCTGGGTCTTTTTCTCCTTAATAGGGTTGATTGTATAGCTCTCTTTATTTCATTGGCAGTGTTGATTTCTAAATAATGATCCTGGCCGACTGGTCTGAGTTTTCAATTAAGAGGACAGAGGATAATTCCTTGTTATCTTCCACGAGAAATTAAACAAAAAGCCGCTGAATTGGCCTGTTTCTTGCATGTACCAATTGAAGTGTTTTGAGAAGCTCATGAGCTTGGTCTGTCTTCAACGTCAAGAAATCAGCATTGTTATTCTTCCGACCTCTACGAATTTCACCACTCCAAAAATTCCCTCTACCTCTACCGTACTCTAGCTTGGTAGTTTCCACCGCCCTCCTAAACTCACTATTTTGCTACTCAATAGGGAGCAAGAAGAGAAATGGTTATTTGAAAGGAAGCCATTTCAAATTCAACATAACATTCTTCATCCCAAGCATGTTTATCTATATATTTCTTTTCAGACTTTGGGGATGAATATGTCTTTTTAGTTAGTGGTATGTGACAGTCATTGATTGATTGATTTTCTAACTGATCTGTTATCAGTTCACATTTAATTTCCTACTTACATGTCATTTATTAATTCGTTACGAAGTCATTTTTTATACTTCTATTTACATGTGCTTTGATAACGGTTTTTGTCAATGTGTAATGGTTTAACGACAACAATTTGTCATTTTTGTTTGGGGGTTCTTCCACTTAGGAATGCTCGCTTCTGCTTCCTAAGTTTTGCATGTGATTTACTTCTTAAAATGGTTCGCATAACAGGGATACGAGTTCGCCAATATTCCTTTACGAGTTCTTTGTTATCCAACAGACTGTTTTCAACTAGTCATTTTGATCTTAATAATATAAGCTATATTAATTTTTTATTTTTTTAAATGCTACTGCATAAATTGAAAATAGACTAAAAATCTCAAATCCTTGTACTCTAATGTTCATATAGTTAATTATTAGAGTTATCTTCCTTGTTGTCTCTAATAATTACCCCCAAAATTCTATTTGGTTCACGATCTTTGAATTTCAACTTGTTGGTAAGCTGATATCTAATGTGTTATTATTTATTTTTGCAGATGATGATGGTTCTGGAAGTTCTTCTAAAGTCTCAACCATATACGGGGTGGCTGGAACAATTAGGTTGCTAGCAGGTAAAGGAAATGAGTTGCATAATCATATAGCCATTGCATCTGCATACTTTGATACTTCCACGGTGATTTCAATCGATGGCCTCATAAGAAAGGAGCAACTAGGCTACTAGGATTTTGCATTAGCGGTGTGCTTTTATAAAGCCAACTCTAGTTATCTTCTTAATTGCTTTACAGACCACTTATGCTAGAACGAATTGGTGGTTACTCTATGAATTTGTTCATTTAATCATTACGTGGGCAAATCAGAAAAGGGTTTGAAAGAGAGAAGAAAAGAAGAATATATATGAGAATTGAAGGGCTTAACTCCAATCAACACTTCGCAATGTCGATCAAATAGTGAGGACGTCGAATTGAAAACTGCCTTTTTACAAGCTGTCTATTTCAGGTTAAATACTGAAATTGGTTTTCATGTTATTACTTTTTAGTAGTCTGGTGTTCGACAACTGTGAAGAGGACTAAAATGCAGTGGGAAGCATTTAGTTTCTCTGGGTAATTTGCAAGTTACTGGACAATTGACTTAGATTTTCCTTCTCTTGAAGATGTCATTCGTACCTCAAGTATGGACATGATAAAACAAAATAAATTGAGAAATGAAGTGGAAAGAATTGGTGATGACTTCTGAGAAGTGAAATCCTTAGGAAGGTTATCAATCAGATTGAATCAAGATAAAATTTATTGTATTCATTGACAGGATTGCCGATGCAGACAAGTGTTTGGAAAGTGCATTTTTGCACCCTAACTTTGCTTGGTTTCAACTCTTTCCCCTTTTTTGGGAATAAATACATCACTGACATGTACTGTGAGCGCTTATATAAACTAATTTACTGATAAATTAGTTATTACACTTCCTACCTTATCAAATATCAAGACGATAAAATTGGCTTCTATTTTTTCCCTAGGTACACACTTGCTAGTTATAACTTCCAGGAAAGATGTGGGAACTTATCTTGGTTTTCCAGTTTTCCGGGTCACATCTATGAAGTTTCTATCCTGCAACGAGGCTTCAAGGTTCTTAACTAGTCAAGAAGTAAGAGCACATCTTATGTATTGTTAATTTTGGAAGTTTCCAGGGCTTCGAATTCCATTTGTTGGGTGTAAACTAGCTAAACTGCAACACTTACAATTATGAGCTGTGTACAGAAAAAGGATGAAGCTTACTTTAAGACTCTGTTGAAAATAGTGGAATCAACTCCAGGTCTATATTATTCTTATGGGAGTGATATCACGCTCAAGTATGTTCGACTCTACATTTGTTTCTTCTGGTTTTCCTTTATTTTACTTTCCACGACGAGATTTTCTGTTTCAATATTTTCATGAAAACTGATGATGTTTACCAGCTTGCAGAGAAGGTTTAAGCTGGCAGAAGGGTGGATGAGTAGACCAGTATGGAAGCAGGTATATAACTTCAATTCTGGGGTTTTGCAATGTGAACAGCTGCAGCAAATAAACATTGCTTGCAAATTTGCTTATTACAATCTTCATTTATGTGACTTTTGTATTATTTTCACTGGGATTAGCGTCTTGCTAGTGAAACCTATGAGAGACAGGAAGATTAATCTAATTCTGAACTAATCTTGACCATACTTCTTCAGTATTGAAGTCTAATTTTAATATTTTCCTATTTCTATTGATACTCTGATGAGAATCACCATTGATTGTATTAATTCATGGTTAATTTCAGGCTGACCCACGATTTGTTTGGAATAGAAATTTACTGGAGGGGCTTATCGAGAACAAGGTTAGAGCTTAGAACTAACCACCCACTCATTTCCCAGTGATACTGGAGAAGAGAACAGATGATGTGTTAAATTTATTGTCTTTCGGATCATATGTTGGCATATACATACATTTGAAAGTATTTCTCTCCAAGAGAAATTTCAGGCAAACTTTACAAAGCCTGGAGGAAAAACCTTTCTGTTTTTACATGAATACTGTTTGGCGAGAGTTTATTTTGACCACTTAATCCTTTCTAATATGCAAATACGTGTTCTTGCAGCTTGATAAATTTATAATCCCTCTGTTACAAGGAAATATCCTTTTAACCCCAACTTTCCCTCTCTCCCTCTCTCTTTATGTCTATTTGTTGTTACTAAATGGTGATGGAAGACCAAAAGTAAATGAAAAATCTAGCCACAGGGATCATGTTTACACTTAACTAAGACTAAAGCTTCCAGACTGGAGAAATCAATCTGAAAAATTCCCCTGCTGTAATAACATTAATTTCCCGGAGATGTACACGGCGCCTAGGTACAAAATCCTGAGGCTTTATTTTTTTCTTTTTATGATATATATGGTTTTGTGCAACCTTTTTTCTGAATACTTACTTTGGTGTTGAATTCAGGGACAAGAATGTGGAGAAGAGGAGCCAATCTAGAAGGAGACACTGCTAATTTTATAGAAACTGAACAGCTGCTTGAATTAGGAGGTTATATCTCCTCATTTCTGCAGGTGTGCTTCACTTCTCAAGAACCTACAGTTTGAGCACATTTAATTCATGGTTCTTTTTTCCCCAACGTTTTAATACGTTATTCTGATGCTTCGCCATCATAGAGAATATGCTGGTAGTACCTCCTTTTTCTAGCTATGGATGTGGTAAATTATACAGGCAGCTAAGGTATATCCTTAATATTGATATGGGAACTTCATTTCCCTGGAAACGGATAATTTTTATTATGTCCAGAATAAAAGATGATTCTGAAAATCATGTGTGGGTTGTTAAATATATGTATGTTTCTGATTAATCGCATAGTCATTTGAATGAGTGGTTTTCATTTCTTAAGTGCCCATTTGATGATGCACATGAATCTTTAAATGAATGTTAAGGAACATATGTTCTCTCTCTCCTGGAATCCTTGGAACCTATGAACCAAATACTTATTTATGTTTGAGAAATAGTTATTGCTGAAAAATAATGTGGAGAAGTTTTTATTGGTTTTAGTTTTTCACTTTTTCTCTTTTATAAAATTCTGCTAATAGCTCTCACCCATTTTCTTGAATGGACTATGCATTTCTTGATGCATATAGTTTTATTCAGAGTAACTACTTGTCAACCTTAATTGTGGATCCCAGACAGTACACCAAATGCTCAATATATCCTATTGGCTGTTTTAATTCCGCCTTTCATTAGACAATCAAGAAGGACTAATCCATCAAAGTTTTGCAGTATATACCCAAAGTCATTCATCACATATCTATAGTGAGAAGGCTAGTTTATGTGAACCTATTTGTATCTCAGGTTCGGGGTTCAATTCCACTGCTGTGGGAGCAAATTGTTGATCTGAGCTATAAACCACGCCTTAATATCATTAATCATGAGCAGACAGTACGTACATGCCTTGAGATCTTATTCCTTTCTTAATGCTTTAAGTTGATTTTCTATTTCATCATTTCCTATCTCATTGATTATAGAACAATAAATGTGATTTCATTCTTGGAGCTGCGAATTTGAATGTTATTACGTAGTGTTTTCCTTTTTATATGTATTTTCAGTCAAAAGTTGTGGAGCGGCATTTTAATGATCTATTGCAAAGATATGGAGAGTGTGTTGCAGTTGACCTGACAGATAAGGTCAGTTTTTCTTTATTAGTCCTTCCAAGCATTACTGGGGATCCCACTACGTGGTATACTTGATTTATTTTATTGTTAATTGCTTTCTGTGGAAGATTTTCCAGATACGGATGGAAAAATTTAGGACCAGGATTTCTTCTGTCTTCTTTTAATCAATTCTAAGATAGCTGGAATTAGTTTTGTTATGGATCATCTACTAGCTGGATATCAACGTAATTGAGTTTCTTAAACATCAATTTATGCTGTAAATGAATGCTTCATTCCAGATTAGATACTCTGAGAATGTCATTAAGGTTGTCTAATTTTTATTTATGTATTTTTAAATATATGGACTACATTATGTTTGGTTTGGAGGCTAGTTTCCTTATATTGATCTAAAGATCTTTTCTTTAGTATATTAACGTTTTTGCTGGGTTGCGAAGCCAGTTCATCGTTGTTTCAAAATTCACTTCTCCATATTTTCCTTTGGTCCTTTTTTTGTTATCTCTTGTAGCATGGCGATGAGGGTTTATTGAGTATGGCTTATGCATGCGAAATGCAAAAGCTGCCAAATGTGAGGTGATTATCATCTTCATTTCTACTACTCTTGTACTGCTTATTTTGTTTTCTTTTAGGAGCCTAAAATTGATGTTGAGGGAGAAAATTGTAAAGTCTACAGAAGACCATTATTATCAGTTGATTTTGGCAGATGATATTAGGAAGGAAATGCAAATAGTAAATTTCTTGTCGTTTCAATTTCTTATGGACCAGCATTATGCAGAAATATAAACTCAATCCGGTGGTTTGTTCCGAACTAGTATGATCAGAATAAGTGCTTGTCTGAGAGTGCTTTTTTAAAAAAAGAGATTTTTTTGGAGAATGTGTGATTAAAAAGTAGGAAAATTAAAAAGTAGGAAAATATATGGGAAAACGTGAAAATTGATTTTTTTTGGAGAATTTTGTATTTGAAAATGGGTTTAGGGAAAAATTGATTCTTGAATACTCACTTTTACCCAAGCACTAATAGAAAGATTATTAAGGAATGTGAATTTCATTGTTTTGTATTGATAATGAGCAAGTATTTGACAATATTGTGATCAGTTTGCTTTTTTTACCATTTTCAGCACATTTGAATTGGGGAATTTAAACAATAACTTAATATGTTTTTATACCACTGCTCCAGATACGTCCCATTTGACTTCCACCATGCTTGCGGCAACACAAACTTTGATAATTTACAACTTCTATATGATCAAATTTCGGAAGACTTTGAGAAACAAGGGTAATGGACAGATTTTTCCGTTCTTCTGTACTTTCCTTTTTTTCCCCCTCTTTGCCTGAAATAGGTGCGAAAATGTAGCTATACGGGATCTTCATAATACAGGTTTAATATTTACTATTCCAGCTGAGCAGATATTTCCTTGTCGATCCTGAAGGGAAGATTGTAGCCGAACAAGGAGGCATAATTAGAAGTAACTGCATTGACTGTCTTGATCGAACAAATGTGACACAGGTTTCAAGCAACGTATTAAATTGATTTCCAATTGCAACTTGCTAAGAATCCCTGTTTCCTAGGATACTTGATTATCAAAATTCAATAGTTAAACTTATTTAGGCGTCTTTTACTCTGAATTCTTCATTGTAAGAAGATGACGTTTATTGTGCAGAGCTTCTTGGCAAAGAAATCTTTAGACATTCAGCTGCAAAGAATTGGTGACTTTTCTCCAATTGAGACCATTTCTACATTTGGTGAAGATTTTGAAATTTTTAAGACTTGTAAGAACCAATGTAAATTATTTTTCTATATTTGATTGCTGAGCTCATGTAAGCGCGGAACAATTTTTATTTTGCCTCCACTTAACCTTGTCTTTTTCATGACAGTATGGGCGGAGCAAGGTGATGAGATAAGCCTTGAGTACTCGGGAACTCTTGCCTTGAAAGGGGACATTGTGAGGTAAGATTAACAAAAACCAAATTTCACCAGGCCAATGTCATATCTGATTAAAAAATATATATATATATATATATATTGTCACTCTTTGTATTTGATTTAATACATTGCACTGTTGCAGGTACGGTAGACAGACAATGGGAGGACTCATTAAAGATGGGATGAGTGCCCTTTCAAGATATTATCTGAATAATTTTCAAGATGGTGTCAGACAGGCAAGCTGTCTAATACTTTATTTGACCACCAAATTCTACTTATGGTAGTTAAAAGGCTAAGGCTTTAAAAACCATTAATCATTCTCACATTACTTTTTGCTTAATTCCCAGGATGCAATTGATCTTATTAGCGGTCACTATACTGTGAACGGAAATGGTCCATCTCCCTTCCAGCATAATGGATTTGATTCCATCTCTGTAAGCAATGAACAATTTATTATCTTTTGATTTAGGGTTTCATATAATGGCTTCTCTTCATCTTGCTGTTTGTTAATCACACTTTCTCCCTATGATGTTTTCCATAGAAAACAATATTCATTTGGAATGTCCTGAACACTAACCAGGATGATAAAACAAGCAGATTATATTATGAACAATTAATTACCTTTTGATTTAGGGTTTCATTATATAACGGCTTCTCTCCATATTTCTTTTTGATTGCCATACATATTTTGCCTATGACATCTTCTATAGAAAACAATATTTATTTAAGTAGTCCTGAACACTAACCACTTATTTGCAAAAGCAACCAAATTATTACAACTTCCCGGTGTTAAAAATGCTTAGTCTGTCTAGAATGGATGTAGGAGAAGACCTTTAGAATCATTTCTTCAGTTCAATACATATGGATGGAGGAGAACAGATTGGCATCTATTGATATTATAATACTCCATGGCTTCCCATGCAGTTTTAAGTGGCCAACCTTAGAACTCAGATACATACATACACTCAAACATAGGTACATGCATGTATGCATGGTGGAGAAAATTTCAATATCAATCACAGATCTTTTAGAGCATGTTTCATAATGTGAATTAGACAGTATGGAAGAAAAGAGAGATTGAAATCTTGATCATAATACTGTCGAGTTTTGCCTAGTACCCTACCAAAGATGGTACTTGTGAATCTTACTGCTGTTGTGCATATTAAACATTATAAAATGAAGAGGTATGAGCATGATAAGATGAACAGCTTATACGGAGAGAAGCCATTATTTAGATATAATTCCTCTTTCATTGCCTAGCCCACAAGGTCCTTTCAACCATTTTTCTTCTTTCGGTTTTATTTTTTGAGATTTGGATTATAAATTATAACTTTCCCAAGTCTCAACCGTACAATTGCAGTATCTTCCAGTTGCATCTGCTTTAGTAATTGGAGGATTGACAGTTACATCAATTACATTAAATCAAGGTATGCCTTTTCTGCATTATTTATCTAAGTTGTAAATGAAATTGGCACCATGAAGTTGTTATTGCCTCTAATTTCTGTCCCATTTCTTGATATTTTCATAGCGGGACGTAATGCACAAAGTTTTCTGTCATCCGTGGTCTGTGCTGGTCTAACTGCTGGATTAATGGCCGTAATAAAATCCAATGGAAGGCAGTTCTGTTCGAGGCCTCGCTTGTGTGGTCTTTTCTAGGAGTGATGCCTCCTGAACTTTGTGCTCCGATAAAAGGATAAATCAAGACTGCTATTCTATACATGGCAAGTCAAGTAGTTTTTGATTATGTAAGTTGTGTTTTATCAATGGGATTGGATATTACTGTATATTATGGGCAGTTTGTTCTTGGTACTGCAATCACGTCTCAATTTAAAGTGGATGATTTTATCTTGTTTACAATTTCATATGCATATTTGTGGACATTCTCTCTTCAAATTTGTGAATTGTAATGTTCTTCCTAGTATGGTTAGGAACTGGTTGGGGCAAGAACTCCAGCAGCGTGTTTGGGATAGCTTTTGTTTTGCTTCTAGTAGGAAAGCTTTTGGAGAAAGTCACTTTCATTCACCATCTTATAAAAGGTTTTCTAGTCAAACAGTGCATAAAAAATATTATCAAAATATGTTCAAAAGCTTCTTAATTTCAAAGTAACTTTTGATTTTTAAAAATCATGCCAAATGAGTCCTTAGAATGCGTTTTCTAACGATAATGATACATGCCCTTGTTTGTTCGGCTCCTATTGACGATCTCTAGGGGCGTAAGTGGTTTAAAAGTTGAGGTGTAAGGCTGGGTTGAAAAACTCGGCCTCTGGTTAGTTTGATTTTAGAAAGTGGTCCGAGTTTCTCGGCTAGTGGCTTTTGGCCTTTGGCAGCTCATTTTGTACTTCTACGTACGAGCAATAATTTATCAAATTATGAAATTTGTTGATCAATTAATTAAGTCGCACATATATATATATATATATATATATATATATAAGAGACTTAAAATTATCTGATTCTTGCCTCACGACGGTCCTTTAACAATGTGTCCAAATTAGCATAACAAAATAAATGCCCTCACATTGTTTATGTATTTTGATTTTTTTACAGAAAATGCGAATTTAACATCGAACCACGAGGACGAGGTGACTCTCACACGTCAAAATAATATAGAAACAAAATATTTTAATCACGAGCTTTAAATTAACAAAATTCAAGAGACAAAAAACTATCGATCTTCACAAAATGACAATTTAGTATAATCATTGCGAATAAACCATATTTAGAGCCTTATCCAACTCAGATCGAGATAACCAGTTCTATTGGAAATCGGTCTGATTCTAAGCTAAAATTCAGGAAAAAAAAAACAGTTGATTGACCAAACAATCAACCGGTTCATTCTAAATTCTGTTATTAATTGTATCATTAATTTGGTTTACCTTTTTCCAGGTGAGTGGGTTTTTTTTAGCTTAGAATAAGACCGATTTCCAATAGACTGGGTTTTAAGTGGCCTTGTACAAGCCCATGGTAGATTTGACCCGGCCCATACGTTTTGACTATGCTCACAAGAGATGTAGGTCTACGTATCTTCTCAGTTACCGACGACGATTCTCTACAACAGAGTATACGGTTTCTCGCTATAATTAATCGTCTGCCTCAGGTTCTACTCTCTCACACAAGAACGCATAATTTATTTGAACATTGTTTTTGGTGTATATGATTACTGTTATTTTTGCATGATTTTATCTTTTCCCTTTGGTAAATGATTAGGAGGAAACAAATATGAATGCGTTTAATTTCTATATTATTATCGTGTTTCTTAAGAAATATTGCTGTAGGTAGAAGCTAGGGTTTAGTCTGTTGCTTCGTAGAGAATAAATTACTGAAATTTTATTTCATTTTTTATTTTTTTTAGTTTTTGTTCCGTTCACATAAAACAGAATATAATGTCATTCCGTGGAGCCAAGGTTATGAGATTTTTCGCTATTGGAATAAAGTGAGTATAGTTATATGCCGAAAGTTTGTTGTGGTTGTATTCTTATGAATACAAGGTTATGAATTAGTGTTTTGCTTGTTAGATGTAATTGAAGTTGATTAAGTTATGAGTTCTCTGAGCCTGGGTTTGAATTTTTGGAATAGAAATTGGAATTAGGGTAATTTCTTTCAAATTCAAAATATTTTTGAATGTATTCCAATCCCCATAGTCCCAATTCTGGTTCATCTAATAAAAACAAGCTGTTTAAGTGATGCTAGTACAGATTTGGTTGACAACTAAAATGAAAACAAGAAATTGATGAGCCTCTATTGATTTGTGGCTTGTGAAAGTAATTTGCTCCCTTTAAGGGGATGAAATGGAGCTGAATTAGATTGAATGCCATCTTTTCATTGGTACAATCTCTAATTTTACCTGATAGGCATGAAAGCTTAGTGTTATTAACAGATAAACTACATACCATTCAAACTTTGAATATTTAATTCAATGGGAGAAAACCACTATTATTTTCAGGTACCCTTCCGAGAAGCTCATCTGTGCTTTTTATTCGAACTTTCTCCTCCTATTTTTCTGAGATGTTTCTTTTTGCTGTTGACTTGTTACTTAGCAGCCTTATAAGTTTTTAGACAAACAATGCAATTAATTGCATGGGATTATTGTCAAGTTTCTTGGTTGCATGTGTTTACAAATTTAGATTGTAGGAATCCAAACTAGATGAGATAGCATTTTAGGCTGCAAACTTGGTGCATCAGGTGAACTTTTGTTGACCACGATGCCAAGTTTTATTATGCTTTCTGCTGCAAACGAATTCGTTTATGGAAAATGAAACATTGACTAAAAATCTGTATCTATCATGCAGTGAATATTTCAAGAAAGTGTCGGAGGGGGTATGGCTAAGCATCATCCTGACTTGATTATGTGTCGGAAGCAACCAGGGATAGCCATAGGAAGGCTTTGTGAGAAATGTGATGGCAAGTGCGTGATATGTGATTCCTATGTGCGTCCTTGCACTCTTGTTCGGGTATGTGACGAGTGCAATTATGGATCTTTCCAAGGCCGTTGTGTTATCTGTGGCGGGGTGGGAATTTCTGATGCCTACTATTGCAAAGAATGTACTCAGCAGGAAAAAGACAGGGATGGATGCCCAAAAATTGTCAATTTGGGGAGTGCCAAAACCGATCTGTTTTATGAACGGAAGAAATACGGCTTCAAGAAGAGATGATGCGTTTCTATATGGTTTGTGTTGATGGTCGGGGTAGGAGTTGTGGGTAGTCATGGTAAACAACAATGCATCTTTGTTGTGCTATTCTGCAGTATAGATAACATTCTCGTTTATGTAAAACACCGAATTTTTTCAGATTCATGTGATTGAAAATAGCTCCTGCTTGTTGAATTTATATTGTGTATTTGAGTGAGGTACTCTTCCTTGTCTTTATCTATCACCACAAGTCTTTCTTTTATGCTTATTCGACTAGAAGTCTACTTTTCTGGGATAGCTTTTGTATAATTTTTTTTAACGCTTATTAAGGAACTTGATCGACTTCCTTTAAAAGCTTTTATAATCAAGTCACAACAAATGTCGAGACAAGCTGAAAAGCTTATTTTTAGTATTAGAAATCACTTTTCACTTTTCAAAAGTTATGCCAAATGGGTTCCAGTCAAGCTGTTTTTTAATATCAAAACCTTGAACTTTCAAATGTCATGTCAAATAAGTCTAAAAGTCCCACTAATGAAATAGGTCCTCTTAGGTTCTCTTATTGTGATTTTAAGTAAAATATTCTCATGCATATGTCAATCTATTTGAACAAAATTAATGTACAAATAGGTTAAAGCAAGTAGGTTAATTCTTCATCTCAACCTTACGGCTGTGATTATACTAGCCACTTGTCACATTCATTTAAAGTCAATTAATGCTATTTATTGTTGAAGTTAAAATGCCAATATAGCTATTACTAATGTGTCATTAAATGAGAGATACAATCAAATAAGGCACTGAGTTCTTTTATTGAACTTATCACATAGCACAACCTATACTAGTGCGGTACCACCAAGAATGCTAGATAGCATCATTCTTTAAAATAAGTACATGTTTGATTTTGGTATAATAGATTTCAGAAGAGAAATTCCGCTAACAAAATCACGAATCTTGATTAACAGATAAATCTTGACTTTACTTGTGCACATACGGAGTTTATATCCACCTTTATCACAAAAGGAGAAATTGGGAGCACATTACTGCAATTTCTCGTCAAAGACAAATTGAAGTAATCTTTAAATAGTGTTATATTTCAATTTGTTTCGAACTGTACACTACTCATGTTTCTTCACCAAATAATTATAAGAATCCCATTTCTTTTTATTACAAAATGTCAGGATAACTTTAACAGGCTACTCGGCCAGCCAACATACACACAATTCTGAAAATTATTTTTCTAGAAAAAAGTGTACAATTTTACAGGCGGCTCCTATTGCTCGAAGCAGCAGGCTTAAAACTGGCAATTCCAGTAACTTCCCTACCAGTTACCAAGGTGTTGATGTCATAGGTCCCTTCATACGTGTAGATGGGCTCCAAGTCACAGAATGCCTAAAACCAAAGAGAGAAAATTTTAAGAGATCGTGTTTTGAGTACAAAGTTTTTAACTCTACAGTACCTCAATTTGTAAGTCCTAGAACTAGGAGCATGTTTGGCTAAGATTAAAAGACTTCCTGATAAGTAAATAAGCAAGTAGAAAAAACTTACTTATTTTGACAGTAAAACAAGAGTTACTTTCAAAATAAACAACTGTTTTTACTCGAGAAAAATAACTTACCTAAATATTCTAAAAAAAAAAAAGTTACTTAAAAGCAACTTTTCCTTGTTGTAAGCTTAGCCAAAGATGCTCAAGGTCCAGTTACTCTGGGAGTATGGTCCCAGGTAGGAAAATTTTGGAAGAAATGCATACTAACCTTTGCCACCAGAAAGTCAGCTACGATACCATTGCCACCAAGTAATTCCCTTCCCAGAGAGACAGTCTCCCTTGCCTTCAAGGTAATCCATGACTGTATTGAACAGAGATTTAATTCAGCCAACAAAAGATGAAAATCCAATTAACCCTCAGTTTCTGACTTAAGTCAAACGAACAACCATTTTCTTACCTTGCCCATGCTGGCATGACCAGGAGTCATTTTACCACTCTCATACAGCTTGCACAGGCGCCAACCAATGAGAAACATTGCTTGAACATTACCCAGCATTTGAACTAGTTTTTGTTGGTTGATCTGGAAAGCTGCCAATGGAGCGCCAAATTGCTTCCTCTCCTTCAAATACCTTACAGTTTCACCAGATGATGTCATTTAAAGCCACAAGAAGGGAAAATAAATCACATTGAATAAAAAGATCTAAAGAGAACCTAAAGACACGTCTCTTAAGGTAACTGCCCCCCTCTATTTGCAAATTTGCAATTTGAAAAAGGAAACTCTATGCTAAAGCATTCTTAGAGTTACTAAATCATGCCTTGATTTAAAAGCTAGTTACATTTTCAATAAAACTCCTTTTATTTTCATTATTTCTTGTAAATCAGTGATACAAACCACAATCATCTCAATCCGATATGCAGGAGGGTCAACAGCCTTCAAAATCTAAAATCTCAATGCACTGAGTCCTAGGCTTTCTAAAAATGAAATCCAATTTGATGGTACAATGAGGCTTCCCTGTCTTCCTGTGCTCGTTTCTAAGGAGAGAAAAAAATTCCTATAAATCTTCCAAAGTGGGGTCACCTCCAAAAAGATGCTGGAAAAAGGAGACAGCCTCTTGATGCAACACATTTTGTATAATAATCTAGAGGCTATAACCTTCATTTTAACAGTAAACAGATGAATTCTTTGTATAAAAATTTACAAATCATCCTTACTGAAAAGGTGTCCAAAAAGTTAAAAAAAAAATTATTGCCTATAAACTTGTCAAAGAAACATAAATTTGAATTGTGGCTAAGATGTTTCAAATAATGTCGTTCTACAACAATAAACTAAGCCTTATACTCGATAAAATTGGGATCAACTACATAAATCATTTTTTGCAACTCCATTTCATTCCTTGCTACATCTACTGCAAGATCAAGCGCAACCAAGTCCCCAGCATCCATAACAGGCCATGTTGATTTTTTCTACCCCTCGCTCTTCTAACATTTTCTAATGAGGTCGCATCACTCTTACGAATAGGATCCTCTTTAAGTCTACAAAAGACATGTCCCAACCACCCAAGTCATTTTTCAGTTAATTTATCTTCAATAAGTGTCACCTGTAGTTGTTTGTTTAATCATGTTTCAAGATTGTAACTTGTAAATTACTCAAATCATTTTATCTTCATTTTCTTAACAGTTATACTTTAACTCTAGATTTTTCTGAAATTGCCTTAATCTAATTTACTGTTAGATTATTGAATTGCTCTCTTTTCAGGAAAAGCTTATTGCTTGAGTTTCATGGAGGAGAATCTTTATTTGAAAGATCCCTTGATAAGAAAGAAAAAGAGGGCAAAATATATTCTGTCAAGGATTATTTAATTAATGGGAGCATTGCGGTTGCTCGGAAGCAATCTAGAATGAAGTTGACAGGACAAATATAACCACAGAAATTGTTGTAATTAATATATAATCACATCTCTTCAACATCAGCAACGAATGCATGACCTACAATTTGATTAATGCAGAAAGGGGCATGAGGAGAAAACATCATTTTGATGATTATATAAAAATAGAAGGGATAAGTAGTACCTGTGACACATATCATAAACACCCATTGAAATGCCAATAGGCTGCCAGGCAACCATGACACGTGAAACAGCAAGTACCTATCTCCAGGTAAAGGTAAATATTTGTCATATTCAATTATGAGGTAAGTTGACGATAGCAAACAGAGAGGGCATTACAAAATGAAGACCCAGTAAAACGAAACTGAGCAAAGTGCAGGGAGCAGCCCAGAGAAGAGATGCCACTTTGCTTATGGGTGAAACTCAGAATGAATTATAGCTTTACATGGATAGGAAAACTTTGGGCTACAGGAAGGAGTCATTGCAGAGATTCAAGAAAGATGGTGTGAAATTGGTACAGAGTTTAATAATTTATACATTGCACTAGCCGTCTTGCAGATAGACCCATCAAGCTAGTAAAAAGAGTAAGAATTGCGTAGATTATTTTTTTTCTTTTCTTTCTCATCAAACATTCATATAAGTTGTGAAAATGGAGGCAAAGGGGTTGCGGCTTCATTTTTGAAACCTCCTTCTCATTTTCCCCCTGCGCTCCTTTTCAAACTGTTATTTTGAGAGACAGATGAGAGATGGGGTACGTGAATAGACTCAAATAATAAGCACAGCAAGACTGCAATAATAAGTTCAGATAACATTCAAATGTTTCTTAAGAGATAAAATATGAAACACCAAATCTCATCTATCTGGCATGCACAACCAAACAATCGACAGAAAGAAGCACCCTGATTCTATACCTTGTTAGTGTCCTGAAAAGAATTGACACCAGGCAGCCTGTCATCATCAGGGACAAAAACTCTCTTTAAGAGAATATCCCCATTTTGAACAATTCTCAGGCCAATCTTGTTTTCTATTTTTGTAGCTTGTAAACCAGGAGCATCCTTCTTTACTATGAATCTGTAGTAGAGTCACATCAGTTATTAGAGATGTTAGATATGATAGAAAGCATATTAAAGAGCATGCTGCATTCAATTTTTAATGATATAAAAAACATAGGTGAAAAAATATCAATTGAACACGTAAAATGTTTGAAACAACTTTTCAGCACAAACCTAATAATCACTTATGAGTATGACAATGCTCACAAAATGGGAACATACACGATATAGTTCAAAAGAAAACCCAACCATTAGAAAATTTAAAATAGAGGAAGACCCCAAATGGGGGTAATTGTCAGAAAGGAAACTCTCTTGACATTGTGTGTCTACTGTGCTTAGAGTGATACTGGCACTCAAATGATATGTTCTTGACTTACCCATTTATCTGATTTGAGGAGGTGTTTCTAGCAAAAATAACCAATACATCTGCAAAAGTGCTGTTTCCTATCCAGCGCTTTTGGCCTTCAAGTATCCAACCTCCGTCAACCTGATGGTCAACGTAAAGAAGAAGAATTGATTGAAAAAGAAGAGAAAAGGGAGTTACAGGCACACGTGCACGCTAACGGATAATAATGTTGAATAGTAAAATTTATAATCTGGACCTTCCTTGCAGTTGTTCTCAAAGCACTTGCGTCACTTCCATAATCAGGTTCTGTCAGACCCTACAGTGTATAAACACTAGAGTAAGTCAAACATGGCAAATATATGAGATATTATTCAAGACTGAGGTATCATAAATGTTCCTACCCAACAAGCTATTGTTTTAAGTTCTGCAAGAGATGGTAAATATTTCTGCTTTTGTGCTTCTGATCCACATAGTGCTGTCCTTGACAAACCAACAGATCAAAATAAGATAATCATGACCGATTAATGTTCAGTTACCTGAAAAATGGTAACCAACTAGCTTGAAGTAAATAAAAATAAAAAATAAAATAAAAAATAAAAATAAAGACAAAAAAATAAAAATAAATAAATAAATGGCAGCAAGTGATACAACAAGACTGACACGTACCAATTGTGAGCATTGCCAAAGAAGAATGCACCAAAATGAAAGTAGAACAGCTGGCATCAACTCTTGCAATTTCTGCTGTAGCAATGGCATTGGCAGTAATGGAGAGGTTGGGGCACCCATAGCCCTAAAATGTACAAATAGTTAGATGTCACACATTCATGTGCAGAATGCCAGGAAACAGAAACAGGTTAACTTCATTATAAGTACCTTGATGCTGCCACCAGCAATACGCAATGCACCAAGCTTTGGAATGATTTCAAATGGAAATTTTGCCTTCTCCCAATACTGAAAAGATTAATTTGCAATCACATCCTCTTCAAACAGCCAAACATGAGGCAATAAACATTTAATTATAGAAAATAATATCTAGATTTTTAATTGACTTCTATTCTTACATCATAGGAAATATAGATAATGAAGGACTCTTTAACAAAATATTCACATACTGTATATGAATAAAACAAAAATGATCACAATGATACTATGATATTCAGTTGAAGATTTGAAAAATTCAAATGTAAAACAAGAAAGTACCTTTGCCATTATTGGAGCTACTTCTTTTTCCATGCACTCTCTTACTTTCTTTCTGATAGCTTGCTCCTCAAGAGTCAATAGATCATTAAACTGATAATAGTCTGATTCTGTAAGTTTGGGAGTGCAATATCAGAGTCGAAACTCACTCGTTAAGAAACATCTATCAGATTCTATCATCTTACAAGTTAAAATTCTAAATGTGGTGACTCTCTAGCAAGGATATATGTCTCCACAAGTACGCACATACAAACAGGTGTATGTGAGTAAACATACACAATACATGTATGTCATAAGCTTATATGAATTTCATGCAGTTTCACATTGTTATCAAGTGAGGAAATATTAATCTTACCGCAAGGAGGAAAGACTGAAGCTGGAGTTGCTTGGGGAAATGCAATTGAAACGTCTAATGCTGGCAGATCAAAATAGGAGCTCTTTGACTCTTTAAGCATATACTCTGTATCACATTCAAAGCAATTTCTCAAACTAATAATTAGCAAATAAAGCTTAAATTTCCTCCAAATAGAATAAATAATCATAGTAGAACTTCAACCAGTCAGGAATAAAGTAACTTAATAAAACTCAAACATCATCCAAATCACCCTAAATAATGATAACTTGCTCTAATCGACATTATCTCGCCTCTAAATAAATTCATAAGCTTGTCCTAAATTTCACAGTTTCCAACAAAGCTTCAACCTTTGGCAACTTGCTTAAGAAAGAGCAAATTTAATGATAAAGGTGAAAGGGGCTTTAAATCAATGATTAAGAGATCTTTTAGCATGTATTTTCCTATATGAATATGATACACTTATATAACTAACTATACAAGCAATATCTCCAGGATGCTCATTAATTCTACTTGGCTCTGGAATTTGATTTCCAGAGAATTTTGAAGAGCAATACATAGTCAGATATAGAATAAACCTCATTTCTTTACCCTTTCAAAATTGAGCTCATTCATCTAATATTTAAATGATACTTTGAGACTGCGAAATTAATTAAACGATCTCAAAAAGTCAAAAGTTTGCCGATCCTTACTCTAGCAATCATTGTTACTAACACAACACACTACGCGCAAAACATTAACATAAACCAAAATGGAAAACATTAAAAGCAAAAAGCCATATAGTCCAAATTAGGAATTAAAAAAAAAAAAAAAAAAACCTTGAGCCTCTGATGCTGGAACTTTCATGGTGATGAGTTGCCGAACTGCGGATGAAGCTAGGATTTTGGGGAATAGATCTTGAATTCAGGAGGTAGAAGGGATATATAGGTTGACGTGATTGAGTTATCGATTGAGATTTATGAATGACGTGTGGGCACACAATTCTAGGTTTTTTTGTTTTATTTTTTTAAATATATGGGAAATAAAAAATTAGACAGTCTCCACCTCCAAACATTGCCAAAATTGATTTAGCAAACATGACTTTCCCGATCTTTAATCATGAGTCCTTTTCGAATCACCTCTTGCAAAAGAATAATACTATTTATAATTGTGAGTAGCTAATTTGTATTTGAATAATGTTATGTAGTCCCATTGAAATTGCAACTCCAATTTAAATAGTATTAGATGATTGGTAAAACGAAATGTAAAATTAAATAAGTAATTTAATTTTACCTATGATTAATGCCACCTATAATGAAATTGCAATTTATAGGGATGTCAAACGAGTCAAGCGACACGTCAGCTCGATCGCTTGGCTCGTCAAAATCCGACTCGTGGGGCTCAAGCTCGTCAAATGACGAGCCCAAGAACGTAAAAAAATATAATTTTTTTTAAAATGTCTAAAATGTACAAATTTACCAAAAAATTAAAAAAAAATCACGAACTCGCGAGCGACTCATGGGCTCGGCTAGGCCTGTGAACTCGTGGGCCGAGCCAAGCTTGCCCACGAGCAACAAGCCGAGCTCGGCTCGTCTTTCACGAGCCACGAGTCCGAGCCGAGCTCGTGGGTTAAAGGGTCGAGCCGAGCGCCATCCTTAGCAATTCCAGTGGAACTGAATAGCATTATTCTTTATTCATACCACATTTTTTTCTTAGTTCATTAAACCTTAATTACATTAAAGATTATCAACACTCATTCATTATCATAATTATATCCGTAGTTTTTCTCCATCACATTCTAATTTGCAAAATTTGTTTATCAGAAAAATATTGACCCTAATAATGATTTTCATCCAAAATATTTTTAATGTGTTTTAAAATAAGGGGAAAATATTAATTGTACTTTTGCATTATTATTTTTTTGCTTATTTAATTTAAAAATACAATAGGTAAGTGAGTCTTTTTACTATACTAGTGAAGGCACGTGCGTAGCACGTGTTGGTGGGTGGTATAGTGTAAGTAATAGTGTTAGAATTTGGTTATGTAGTATTTGAACTAAAAGAGTGAAACTTATTTTGAATGATGATTACATTGGTTTATATAAAATATTTGTTCACGGGTACTTACATTGGGGGTAGTAATATGCAGTAATTATAAACCATACTTGGTTAAAGAGGTATTAAAATGTTAATATGTACAATGAACAAAATGTAGTGCGACAAGTAGAGATGTTGGGAGTGAGGTGCGTTGATCTGTGGGCATAAATATACATGGGCTCAGCTCATAACCTTGTAGCTATTCGAACATAAAGCTAATAGTAAAAACCAGATCTCAGAAAGTATTATTATTATTTATTTTTATTTTTTTGAGATATTTAGTAGAAGATGATATAGGAGAACGACATACCCTAATAGATATAAAACTATAGGTACATCCTGATTCTTGAGTAGCTGCAGTTTTGTGAATAAATTTATAAATAAAGGTGCAAGAGGCTTTATAAACTTCAGATGATTATCTGACCAGAAACATGAAGTTTACCGTGTCCATAAATTTTTTTATGGATTAGCGATGTAATGTACATCTGCATTAGATTTTTCTTCCTTTCTCGTATTCTGTAGTCTTCTTTCTCTCTCTCTCAAAATGGGGCTCTTTTGCTTTTAGTTTATGGGATAGGGACCTCAATGAGGCAGCCAGATGATCATTACGATGTGCTGAAACTAATTTAAGTAGTCTCATGTGCCGAAATTCACAAGGGAGCGAATACAGAATGAAAGTTCATATATACAAATGATTTAAGAAGCTTGTATAAGATTCTCATCAACTATGGTAATAATATGCCATGTTAACCAATGCAACATATGGACAAATCAGATGGAAAGGCAATATGCCAAATTTCCAGCTATGGTAGTAGAACATCATGTTTCAGAATCTATGTAATAAAGGCTTAAATACCAACAGCTCATTTATATTGGCAACTTACTTAATAGATGATTGTAATGCATATTTAATTGATAACCACAATAGGATGCAGATCTGGTTAGACAAGCTAGGAAAATCGGGCTGTTAAATTTTATAATTTCAAAGCTTTAAATAAAAACGTGCCCAACATTCAAACTTTGGAAAGGAATCTAAAATACAATAAAAAAATAAAATTCTACTGAACAAATTATTATGCAAGTAAACTGAACACAAGACAGAAGTGCATATATCAAATGATGGCAAGTGCTTTACTCATATCATGTCCCCGATCTTTCTTCCTCTTCGATGTCCCAGTCCAATTTCAGCAACTACTATATAACATAATAAAGCAAAATCAGTTGTTTCCCTAGAAAGCACTAAAATTAAGCAAAAGGATTAACAAAAGTGCGATGTATTTCAAGCATTATGCTTCAAAACAAAAAATTACCTGATAACCCTTACTATGCTTTGTACTTCTGAACTCCCAGACAAATTTTTGTCATCCATGAATAGGCTGCCATGGACAAATATTAGAACACAAAAATACCTTATCTTGGTGCAAAGGACAAAATGATTACTTGTATATTTTTCAATGTTCTCTTTTCTGCCTCAAGACGATGATATAGAATGAAGACAAATTGTATGACTTAAAAACGCAAATAAGCCTTATTGTCGACAAATTGGGGTCGAGAAAAATATTTGTTTTTCACTACTCAGCTCGACCTACAACTGTGTAAAGAAAAATCAAATGAAACAAAATTGAAAATCCTTTAACAAAGATATTATACAATCATTCTACTGACATAAAAAGGTTGTAGTTGGCAAATGAAGTTATGATGATCTCTAAAAATTACTACATATGATGCTCTCGATAACTGGATGAGAAAATTAGTAATTGATGTTGATGTTCCCATTCTCTTAAGCTTCTCTATTTCAATTCGTTAAAAAAATTTCAGAGTACATTTTAAGAATCCCAATTTGTCAACAACGAACATCATATATAGCAATATGAACGTCTCCACATTTGTCCCACCAGATACAAAGGCCAGCAAAGCCATTCATCTGGTGGCATGCATGCCTGGATTCTGGTTCAGAACCTGATTTTGGGAATTTGATAAGGCAGCAACAAAATTACTTTTCAATTGTGCCATCATCCCTGTCCTTGAAGAATTAACTGCAGCTGAACGACTTGAAACATGATTTGAAGCTGCATTGGATTCTAGATTATACCCAATACCTAGACCAAAATCCATGTCTCGCACACCTTGGTTACTAACTCCCCTCCCTTTAGCTCTTTCAGGCCTTCTGCACCTGTAAATAATATTGAACATTCAATGAGGAAGCAACATATGTTTAAAAAACTCTCCAACAGAAATAAAATATAAAACATAATATAAAGATTAAAGACTAATGTAATTTTATTTCCTCTGAGGTCACTCCTCATCATAATGGAAAACCCCCCTCAATAAATATTATGGAGGAGAAAAACACAAAATTATTCAGATGAATGATGCATTAAGAATCTCAATTATATCATCAAGCCCTCGTTCTTTGCTTCATTTTCCTTGGAATCAAAAATTTATTAAGCATGCAATCAATCATTAATTCAAAAAAAAAAAAAAACTGAAATTAGAAGTACAATCATGGACATACACAAATATATACGAATGATTATTAACAATAAGGAGTATAAAGATAAGGAAATGAAGGATACCTAGATCTGGTTTGAAGTCAGGCAACTGAGCATTGGCAATTTTGGGCTGAAAGTAGCCAAATCGTGGAACGAAGGAAAATCAACAAAAAGGGTTCGCCAGAGTCGAGAAATTAAATTAAACCTAAATCAATAGCCAACTCAAATTAATTATTGATAAAACTATAAAAATTCAAACTTGCTCTTCAAGGAAAATTATCCTCGGACGAGAGCTGAAGAGATGTAAGGAATATTGGAAAATCAACAAAAAGGGTTCGCCAGAGTCGAGAAATTAAATTAAACTTAAATCAATAGCCAACTCAAATTAATTATTGATAAAACTATAAAAATTCAAACTTGCTCTTCAAGGAAAATTATCCTCGGACGAGAGCTGAAGAGATGTAAGGAATATTGGACTCAGCCAGCGTGGGGGTACAGCCAACGCCGAAAATTGGAGTCTGCCTTCCGCAGTCGACGAAACTATAACTGCAAGTAGAAAAGAATTGGAATCAACATTTTCTTTACGGAATTCACGTGAATGTTCTCGAAGTGGAACCACAGCACAATTCCAAATGGCTCGGCTAACTCGGCTCGGCTTAGATGGCCAAATGGCTTGTGAACAGTAACACAAAAAGTGCCTCTTTTATATGTAGTTAGATTTTGAAGAAATTTTTGGAGGAAAAATCATAGTCAATAATATTTTATGTTAATTTGATGGCAAGAAATTTTTCAACCATAAGGGTCCATTTGATTGCGAAAATGAAATTTGAGTGGAAAAAAACGAATTTCAGGAAATTAAATTGTCTAGAGATTGTTTTTTTTTTTTGGAAATTGTAAATTATTGTGTTTGATTAGTATAATTTTTCACGTGGAATTCGTCAAAATAAAAGTGTTTTTTTATGTTCGTTTGACTTTGTTTTACATGAAAATTGTCAATTAAAGGGATAGATTTTACTGTATTGGGGATGAAATTTGTTTCTATTATCAAAAAAAATTCAAGAAAATCATCTATTTTTTGGTTTTCGTTTGGTTTTGTTTTAAATGAAAATTGTCAATTAAAAAGAAATATTTTTTTACAATTAGGGATAAATTTGTTTCCATTGCTATTAAAAAAAAAATTGTTATAGTAACCGAGATATTGGTTGGAATTGGTTTTCCATGAAAACCAAGAAAAATCCTATGTTGCAAGGCAACCAAGAAATTCATTTCCATGAAAAAAAAGACATCAAACATCCTTAAATTTGGAAAATGGAATTATTTTCCATAGAAAATCTCTCCTACCAAACACACCCTAAATGTAATAAGATGTGAACGTTATGAATCTTTAATACAAATAAAATATAGTTTAATTATTAAAATTTGTGGTATGAATATATTTAACCTTACATAAATCAATTATGTCATTATCTAAAATTTTAGAGCAGGTCCGATTAAGCTTCTTCGTGTCAATTTGACTTTTTAAACAAGCAAAATGGCAAATAATCTCCAAATCTATGCCCATGGGACTTATTTAGTCCCTCTTTAATAATCATTTTTATAATAATCAAAAAAAAATTTCAAACTTATTCTTAATCACATATTATTCAAAAAAATCACTATTCTAAAATTATTTTTATCAAAAAAAAACAAAAAAAGAAAATTTATAATGATTGTCAAATAGGGGCTTAGTTCCTAAAATTGAAAAAATAAATATTATTAATCTTTCAATGTGCATGTGTAACTTTTTCTTTTTAACATTTAAAAGTTTGTTTGAAACAATAGTTATGTCAAAATACGTAATAAAACAAATTATTTATTACTTTATCAAATTTACTTTGAACTTATAGGGCTCAAGGAGTTGAACATTGGACACCAAAATAATAAAAATAAGAGATATGCTTAGTGTACAACATTTGGTACTATACACTTTTACAGCTCCCTTACAATGAGGGGCTCACAAATTTAATATTTACGTGGGCCCCCTCAACATGTGCGGGAGCTGTATGTATAGCATGGTGTACAAATAGCTTTTCCTTAAAAACAAATAACACTGGAATCAACAACCCTTCATTGTCATTTTGTGTAACAAGCTTTATATAATTCAGGAATTATTTACTTTTTTCAAAAAATATAATGAAAATTATTATATTTTGAATTTTACTTCATTTTGGAATATCAAATAATTAATTTAGAAATATTATTTTTAATTAAGACAAAATGAATATTTAATATACACAATTTTTTGGTCAATAATTTCTACATAACAGAATGGGAATCATAAAATTTTTATATACTATACAAGAGAGACGACCTAATGAATAACGATGTTCATCTTATGTTAATCGACGATAAAGTATCATATTAATTCATTGGATGAAGTTTGGACACTTCTTAACATTTGAATTAAATTTATTATTCATTAATGCTCGTTAAATCATTTATCACCAATAAATGAGTTTACAAAATTAATAAGTTAAAAAAAAAATAGTTGCAAGGAATAACATAAAAAACTTTGATTTATCTCAATGAGAAAAAAATCAATTTTTAAAAATAAAATAAAATTAAACAATGACCCACCGATCCAATCAATGACCAACAGTTCAACCAGTAAACCGATGATTCAGTATATCAGATGATTGATGCGCAGGTCAAGTATAATAACTATACTCAGTAGTAATATTCATTCATTTAATATTTATTTCAATTAATTTAATTTGAATTAAATATGAATATCTTTCAAGCACGCTTCTAAAACTTTTTGCAAGAAAAAAAGGCCTTTGAGTACAGAAAATTTCTTATTGAATTCATACCTTGAATAACAAGCTACTACATATGATTATTGCTTATAGCTTCTGACTATGAATAATATTATTCTGCAAGAGACGCTGTCATATAAATTCCCCATAAAAATCTCAAAATTATTATATATCCACGTCGAAGTAGAGAGAAAAATCTAACAACGACTTTGATAAAGAGAATATTTAATTAATATAAAATACCCTATATCTACTTTTCTTTTTTTATTATGTGATTCATCACAGACTAGGCCAATGATCTAGGTTCAAATTGTGTCGTCACTCATTAATTAACACTTGTGCACTTGCAAGGTTCTAATTGAAAAAGATGAATTCAGAATATACATGATGGGGGTGAAACTTGATCTTTTTAGATTAAGTCCTTGTTTGAGCCACATTATTGGAATAAAATGCATAGAAAATGTGTGGTTAAAAAATAAGGAAAAGTTTTGAATTTGCGTGTAATGTTATTTTATTGAAAAATGTGTGGTTGAAATGATATCAAATCACTGTTGAAAAATACATTTTTTTTCAAATAATGTGGCTCAAACAGGCCTAAGTAGTTCAACTCCATTTAGAAAAACGAATGGAAACATTATCGTACAAATCCCTCACAAAAATCTCAAAACTCGAGTAGTATCACATTAAACTAGTGAGATGCACGATATTTGCTTTAGCATTGACCAAACATGAGAAAATATCTATTTTTTAGTATCGTTGGGACTTGAGATATTATTAAAAATGGTTGATCTCAATATTCCAAACCCTTTCAAAAAAAAAAAAAAAAAGGAAAAAGTTAAGTTCATATTTGTGAGACAATGTGTTCCTTTCGCATTAGATTCTACATATTGTCATGACCAAAGGGAATAGGAAGGTAACATGTTAATTTTGTTTGTTTATTTTTTTGGTCACTGAATCTTTTGTAAAATTTCAATTGGGATCATCCAACTTTATTTTATTCCAATCAGATAGCATATTTTCGATTTAATTTTTAGTATCTGGTCTCAATCCTCTGTTAAGGCTCACTTCCATGTAAATAAGTCATATAATCGCCCCCCAGGGCACATCCGAGTTAAATAGGAAGGTAACATGTTAATTTTGTTTGTTTATTTTTTTGGTCACTGAATCTTTTGTAAAATTTCAATTGGGATCATCCAACTTTATTTTATTCCAATCAGATAGCATATTTTCGATTTAATTTTTAGTATCTGGTCTCAATCCTCTGTTAAGGCTCACTTCCATGTAAATAAGTCATATAATCGCCCCCCAGGGCACATCCGAGTTAGTGGAACAATCACTTCGCTGGGACGCTGGAAGCAAGGGTGGAGAGTTCGATTCCTGGAGTTAACACTGGGAGCCATATGGAGAGGAAGCCATTGGTGTGAACAAACGCCCAGTGAGGAAAGCTCTCTTTGCGAAAAGAGTCCAAATGAGTTGTGGGAACTTGGGAGCCAACAAGGGCATATCCTGCGATTTACCTCCCTGAGCTGCTGAGGGGTCGGAGGTTCAGGGACAAGGATCTAGTCGGACGCAAGCCCGGACACCTTGTAAAAAAAAAAAAAAGTCATATAATCATACTGTGACCGTGAAATTTTGAAATTAAGCACTATTTGATATAACTTGAAGAGCTCATAAAATATTTAAGTTAAAATTCACAACTTTTATCTTTTGCCTTTTTTCTTAATAACATATTTAATTAACTATTATCAAAATTTACAAAAAAAAATATGATTTTTACCTTAAAATAAAAAGTTATGGATAAAATTAATTCTTGATTTTACCTTAAATTAGATTCTAGATTTTAAAATGGACTTCTCAAACACAGCACAGGCCACTTAACATGCCAGGGCAAAGCGTAGAAATCAAGAAATGCATAATTAATTATTTCTTAGAACGGCACTTCGAAATCAGCTCAACAAACACCAAAACAAGAATCTAAAAGGTTCAAATTTTCAATCAAATTTCTCTAAATAATCATCGGCATGTTCGCAAAACTTCTGTTTCACAGGGCCGATCATAATTCTCAGGTAATAATCGAATCATCAGTACTAAATTGACATTCGTTGACATAAATTTTTTCCTGATTGATGAATTGGATAATTGAATTATAAGCCTATGGAATTTGAATTCTTAATCGAAATTAGAAATTAAATTGATTTTCTTAGCTTATTCAATGGTATTAATTGCGTTTCGTCTTGGTTTTATTTTGAGTTTTTATGAGTTTTTGTTTTTTGATTCACAGTATCATGGAAAGAGTTTGCTGTCGTCGGATGAAGTGGATTTTCGGATTAATGTGCATTATGGTATCCCATCTACGGCTTCAATTCTTGCTTTTGATCCGATTCAGCGCCTGTTAGCTATTGGAACATTGTAAGTTTAGGCATTGTTTATATTTGCGGTGTGAGCTTAAGTTTATAATGTAATTCTTTGTATTGTTCATAGTGTACTTTCCCCCAATGTCATGCAGGGATGGTAGGATAAAGGTGATCGGTGGTGATAATATTGAAGGACTTCTGATTTCCTCAAAGCAATTACCTTACAAATACTTGGAGGTCGGTTTTCTATATCTATACAGATTCTTAACTTTTTATAATAATTCAGAAAATTTGCTTTCGCAGATTTCAACTGTATACGTGCCATACAAAATTTCCTGTCTTGCGAGTGTGAATGACCAGGCATTAAAAATGAGTTTCCCATGCTTATTGCTTCCTGAATTGAACTTTGTGGTACATCAAGATGATTTAGAATGTATTTAACGAGAATAATAAAGTTACTTGTTCATGGGAGTAAAAATACTTCCTTGTAATGGAGATCATTTCAGAATAAAATAAAAAAATCCAGTTGATCAAGAAGGTCAGTGGAATAGCGAGATTAATAAATTAACTCTTTGTCACAAGGGTCCTAGATGGTTGATTGTATTCCAGGATAGAACCAAGCATTGAGTTAGGGTCAATGGTGGACTCATCTAATCATATGGCATGACGATGGCAATGCAATGCTAAAATTTAGAAATGTAGACACTGGCACTGAAGTCTGCCATTTATCTGTCATTTTTACTAAAAAAATTATCGCAAAACATTCTTTTGTACTACTGATCTGTTCCGTATGGTTCCTTGGCAGTTTTTGCAGAATCAAGGTTTCTTAATTAGCGTCACAAATGACAATTATATTCAGGTATTATTAGTCTATGCTTTATATAAAATCTGTTCTACATCAGTTCCTTCAGTTGCATTGTTGATCGATGACGAGATACTGGAACTCCTGTAACCAACTCAGTCTCTTTTTACTTCTACAGGAACCAATAATAATTCGATTCGTTTGGTTTAGGTGCTATTGTTACCTTCTCACTTGTGATTCTGTCTTGTATTTTTCCTATATCTATCTTGACATTTCTTTCATGTGATATATATACCCTTCTGTTACTATATTATAGAATTTTCCATATGAACTTTAAGGTATATTTCAATAACTAGAATCTCAGAAGTATAACTAACTTCACTTGCTAAACAATTCTCATTGGTAAGCTCCCAAGTGTCTTATTTTAAAGGTTTCCCTCTTGAAACTTTTCCTATCTATGGGATTGTTGATCTAAATACTAGATATAGTGCCAAGAAGTTCTCAACCTTCAAATTTACTCTTCCCAAACACTTCTACTTCAGGCAATTCTCAACCTTCTACTGATGCTAGTTCTCTACTTGTGGCATTGCATTTAACTTCTTGTAATTATGTATATAGAATTACTCATACTATTCACCCTCTCTTTTTGAGGTACTCCCTTCCAATTTCTGATTTAGCGTCCTCAAACTGGAAAACACAAATAACAAAGTGATATTACCACATAACTTTTTGGCCAAAGAATTTATTAGCCTCATGCTGATCCCTAATTCAATCCTACAGATGGAGGCACCGGATCTATGCCTGGTTTTACAGTGCTGATCCTGTATCATGTTAATATCATCTGGTTTAAGCATCACGCTTCTGTGAAACCCACCAAAAACTACATCTAGCGTTATTAATAACTTTCTCCAATGAGAAACATTTTAGTATCTCTGAGAAGGCTTAACAACCCAGGTGCTTCAAATAGTTAGACAGTATACTATCTAAAACTTTCTTTCTTTTTGCAGGTTTGGAATCTGGAAAGGAGGTGTATAGCTAGTAGTTTACTATGGGAAACAAACATAACTGCTTTCTCCATAATCAGTGGCTCCTCACTTATGTATGATACTGATATGGACACGTGATGTTTGAGTTGTATAACATACTATCTGCTGAGGGGGTTGGGATCTGTTTCGTGTCACATAACACTTCTCTTCTCTCTGTTTTAGGTATATTGGTGATGAATATGGTTTAATGTCTGTTCTGAAGTACGACACAGAGAATGGAGAACTACAACAATTGCCTTATCATATATCTTCAAATTCATTTGCTGGTGATTACTATATATGCTCAGAGAATAGTTTGCTTAATATCACACATAAATTAATTTTCCACCATTTGATTTTGCATTTTTTGTTTTCTTTGAAAGTCAAGTTTTATAAAAAGGTTATCCCTATTGCCAATCCTTTGGTTGTAAAATTTAGATAGAAGTTTTTTTGTTTCATGTCTGTTTAAGCTTGAAAGTCACATGTATGCACTGGACTTTTTTGGTAATTTTGGCTTTCATTGCCATAAGAACATATATTTAACAATCTTTTCTCGTTTATTTCACAGAAGCAGCTGGATTTTCATTATCTAATCAGCAACCCGTAGTTGGAGTTCTTCCCCAACCTTGTTCTTCAGGAAATAGGCAAGATATAACTAGCCTCTACTTTTCTTTTTCTTTTTTTTTTCCCCCAATTAAGGCTTCTAGACTAATTGTCTTTAGCTTCAAGGAGCTTCTTACGATGGATGAGTTGTAGATACAGAGAAATTATAACCCATAAGTTCTGTGGGTTTCTCGTGTCTGATGTATTTGTTGTAATGATTTTTTGCCTATGAATTGAAATAGGTTCCATCGGTTAATTTAGGAAGAATAAGGGTGATGGATGAATTAAGTCTTTGGGACAAGTATAAATGTCATATTTTGTAACATGGAGCTGTTTACGGAGAGTTAACAATTAATGTTTTTTAAATTGGAGAAGTGTACTTTTTATTGCAGGCTATTGATTGCTTATCAGAGTGGTCATATTATACTTTGGGATGTTGTTGAAGCTCAAGTTGTTTCTGTTCAAGGTGATAAGGTTCTCCAATTACAGAATGAAATTGATTCTCAAAATAACGTAGACACCAGCGTGCTAGATGAAATATCTCCCCATCATTTAGAGGAGAAAGAGATCAGCGCTCTTTGTTGGGCATCTTCTGATGGGTCCATCCTTGCTGTTGGATACATAGATGGTGATATTTTATTTTGGAATATATCAGTAGGTGCCTCCAGCAGAGACCAACCAGCTGGATTGTCTCAAAATGTTGTTAAGTTACAGTTGTCTTCCGCTGAGAAGAAAATTCCTGTCATTGTCCTACACTGGTTGGCTAATAATAAATCCCGTAATCATTGTGATGGTCAACTTCTTATTTATGGTGGTGATGAGATAGGATCTGAAGAAGTTGTCACGGTAGGTTATCAAACATGATGTTTCATGGATATTACGTTCAGAGTCATTTCTCTGTCAGTAATTACTTGTTAAATGTTTGCTATTGGAGAAATAGTGATATATTTAAATTGTCAGATTCTTTTTGTCGGAAATTAAATTTATGCTATGGCCCCGTTTGGCCCCCATTTTTTGGAAATGAAAATGGGTGGAATAGTTGTTTTTTTTTTTTTAAATAAGTGGTTGAAAAAGAAGGAATTTTTTTTGATTTACATGTAATATCATTTTATGGAAGATTGTGTGGTTGAAAATAGGAAAGAGAAAAATGAAATGTAATAGAATGAAATTTAATGGGGGCCAAACGGGGCTATAAAAAGCATTGAAATCTTGTACTCTACTCAAGCTTCTATACAAAAAAAAAATTCCTGGAAAACTGAAATAAAAAGGAAATAATGTTCTCTGTAGATTTGTTTGGAATGAAATAAAACTTAAGATTGTGAACAGGGCATTTACTAATTCAAGGAACGTGGGTAGTTACAAATTTCCTTCATGCTCTTAGACTTTCTGCAGGCAAATTGTTTGGGAATGTTATTCCCATATTTTCTGCTAATCAAATGGTCATGTAATCTAACTTCGCTGTATCTTTTTGCAATCCACATGTGCTTAGGCTTGTACACTAGTCTCAGAAATTTATCCGAGACAAGCTTCAATATCTCAACATATTTGTAATACAAGCTTTTGTCGTGGAAGTTTGCCTTTTTAATTTGATAGTCATTTGGGTACCAGTGGTTTGATATGTTACAATATCCTTTTGAACGTTGCAGGTTCTGAGTCTTGAATGGTCAGCTGGGATGGAAGCTGTGAAATGCACTGATCGTTTGGACCTCACTCTTACTAGTTCCTTTGCAGACATGATTTTAATACCATCTGCTGGGACAACAAGGAGTGATGAAAATGCTATTCTTTTTATATTGTCAAACCCTGGATGCCTGCAAATTTATAATTGTGCCGACTTGTCTTCCTCCATGTCACATCCTAAAAAGGGGCTGCATCCTGAAAAGGAACTACTGGACTCTGCTGTAAATTTTCCTACTGTAATACCAACTGTTGATCCTCTGATGACTGTGGCAGAGCTTTTTCATATATATGGAAACACAGAGGCACTGTCCAAGGTAATGCATATCTCTGCATAAACATGCAACTCCTACGTCTTCTCTGATATCTTTTGGAAACTTTCAATCTTGCTCATTATCTTCTAATGTTACGTTATCTTTCATAAGATAGCTGCACTGAAGCAGTCTAGTTCAAAGCTAATGTTGCCAAGGGGTATAAAGTGGCCCATGACTGGGGGTGTATACAATCATCTATCCTTTGGCAAAGATAACTGGATCCTTAGAATCTATGTAGGAGGCTATCAGGATGGATCAGTTCGAATATGGGATGCCACCTATCCAGTGTTTTCGCTCCTCTGTGTTTTGACAACTGAGGTTAGAACAAAGCCAAATTCAATGAAATTTTCTAAGTTATGTAAAACAGAATGCTAATATTTCTGTTCCTCATGTAAACTCATTTCTTATTATTGGCAGCTTAGCAGTTTAAATTTGGGCGATTCTAGTGCTTCAGTGACAAAAATGGCTTTCTGCTCCTCCACTTTGAGATTAGCAGTTGGCAATGAATGTGGTCTGGTCAGAAATTTTTCTTGCATATTAAGAGGCTCAATGTACCCTTGCTCAATATTTAATTTTTCCTAGGTTTGTTCTCATGCAGGTCCACCTGTACAATCTTTTTAGCAGTGATGAAACAAGCTTCCATTTTGTTACAGAAAATAAGTGTGAAGGTGATTTAAAACTGCTTATCGATTTTTCTAATGAAGCCTCTTCGCTGGGAGAAAATTTAATGGGCAATAAGGTCCTCCTCTCAATTCCGGACAGTCAATTGGACCCTGTCTTAAATTTGTGATTATCATGGGACTCTATATAAAAAAGTCGGAGGCAAGAAGTTCATACAGAACAGCATATTCAATCCAGGGTCTACAGTTTTAACTTTAATCTATTTAAGAATTTCATTGAAGTACCCAACTACTGCACTTTCGATCCAAAAAATGTTATTTTTGAAATTCCTGGAGTTTTATAAATATTTAGCTGAAGAATTTACTGTGTGCACTACATGCTAGGCTGACCTTATTTTTGGATAAGCTCAAAAGGGGAAGGAAAATATTAAATGTGGTAAAAAGCGACTAATATGTCAAATCCTTGTGTGGCTATGGTCATGGTCAGTTCAATGTGTTTTATTGACTTTATGTTGATTGTATGTTTCACAGTTCATAACTTAGTTCAAGTTCAAGGACCAAAGTATGAAGCTGTTTTTAGCCTTCTTAATTCGAGAGTTCAAGCACTTGAATTCGCAAATGGTGGCACCAAACTCGTTGTTGGATATAAATGTTCTCGAGTGAGTAATATTTTTTTTAGGTTTCTTTTGGTTAAATTATTAGCGAACACTTTGATTTGTTTATCTATTTTTTTCCAGTCAATGGCCTAGTGATGGGGGCAGTGATCCCTCTTCCTAGATCCTGCTTCCCCCTGAATGTCTCCATAAACATTTTAATCCCTGATTATTTTGATAAAAAGCAGGGTCGTGGCAGTTGGTTATGAAGCCTTTGGCTCGATTTCATATTTTGTTATTTATTAAGAGGTTTGTAAGAATTGAACACCCTTGTTTCAGATTGCGGTGCTTGATGTGAATTCATTATCTGCTGCATTTATAACAGACTCCATATCCAGTACTAGCTCACCATTGATATCAGTACTCTGGAAAGTTTTTGCTTTTGGTCCTGCTAAAAGCTTAAATCAGCCTGGATTAAAAATTCCAGATAATGTTGCTGGGGAATTTCTTTTTGTGTTAACCAAGGATGCGAGGATTTATGTTGTTGATGGTAATAATGGTAAAAGAATTTGCTCAAGGCCAGTACACCCAAAGAAGCAGTCATCTGCAATTACTATGTATGTTATAGGCAAGTATTGCTTGTCTATGGCTAAGGATTATCTCTATTTCTTCTTATACTTATTTGCTATTGGATTTTTCTCGTTTTCACTTCAGATATCACTGTACCTGATCCACGGTCAATGAATGGAGAACATTCGCCCAAAGATGACAGTAACAAGCTTTCTGGGGAGCACACAACGCAGGGGAGCACTAGATGCTATACTGAAGACCACTCTGCTGATATAAATCTCTCTGTAGAAAGTTTAAAGGAGTCATTTGTCTTGCTGTGTTGTCAGGATTCTCTACGTATATACACTATGACGTCTGTAGTTGAAGTGAGTACCTTAGTTTTACTTCCTATATTGTTGGATTCTATTTTTCACGAACTAAAATAATCTTTATATATCAGGGAAAAAACAAATCTATTTTCAAAGTCAAACTTGCAAAGCCCTGTTACTGGACCACCGCTTTCAGAAAAGATGGGAAACTTTGTGGACTGGTGGTATTCTACGAGACGGGAGAGATAGAGATCCGGTAAACTACTTTTTAAAATTTTTGCCTCGTTAACTAAAGCTTTGATTTAATTCCTAACAATATTGTCAATGAAAACGGCCTGATAAATATTATCATTATTTTTGTATTCATGGAAACTAATTATAGAATTCAGTATATTCTTCTTCTCAACGACAAACGAATATGTAAAGAATAAAAACATAAATGACAGGAAGCTGTGGTAATAGCTAACTTTGTGCAGATCTTTGCCTGACCTAGAATCGGTGAAAGAATATTCATTGATGTCTGATTTAAGGTGGAACTTCAAGGCAAACATGGAAAGGATGATCAGTTCTACTAATAATGGGCATATTGCACTGGTAATGTCATATACATCTTTTCAATTCCACGATGTAATTTGTTCAAAAGCTTAACTTAATGAGAAAATTGAAGATATCTATTATGAGGCAAATACATAGGGCTTTTCCGTTTTGCCATATCTTGCTTAGTATTTCATATGATAATATCTTTTAATCATGAGTAATATGTGCAGGCAAATGGGTGTGAAGTGGCATTGGTTTCTCTATTGGCGGGTGAAAATGATCTCAGGTATCCTTACTGCATTCATTAGTCAATGCCATTTCACTAATGCTTAATTGAGCCTCAGAAAAGGTTGGAAAGGGAATTAGAATATGATGAATGGACTGGATAAATTTTCCCAGGATTTCAGATTCCTTGCCCAGTCTTCATGATGAAGTGCTTGCAGCAGCAGTGAAGGCTGCAATGAGTGTTTCCTCAGATTCAAAGAAAAAACAGGTTTGGAGATTTGATACTATTAGTTTCTCACTTTTCATGCTTTATGATTGTGATATTCTGTATTTCCTACTAAGTGCTTGTCTGTGGAACTACAGGGAGGTAGTCCTCACCTTTTGGGTGGTATTGTTAAAGGACTTAAGGGTCGAAAGTCCAATCATGCAACATCTCTTTCTTCCACTTTCAAATCTGATTTTAGTCATTTGGAGGGCATTTTCATGAAGAACCCATTCCCAGAGCCATCTAATATTGAAGATGAACATGAGACTGCTGAGCTTGATATAGGTTTCACTCACCTCTCTTTGGCTTTTTCTTTATTTTTCATTTTTTGTCTTTAGAAGTACTACCCTTTGTTGCTTAACTTCTGCATGGCTTTGCTTTTCTGTGTATGCTAAGTGGCTCAAACTGACTGTAGACTTATGCAGATGACATTGAAATTGATGAACCTATTCCTCCGGCTCCTACTTCATCACATGAAGTACATGCTAAAGATAAAGGTAAAAACAATATGTTGCCTTTATATATAGCTGGATTTGGTCGAGCGTTAAAGTATTGATGGTTTTCCTGCAGGCAAGAAAAGTGAAAGAGAAAAATTACTGGACGGGGATGCGGATGCAATGCCCAGAGCCAGAACAAAGGAAGAAATCATAGCGAAGTACAGAAAAGCTGGGGTAATTCATGTGTTGCTTCTTTCTAGGAGGATGTTTGGTGAAGATTAAAATTAGATTTTTTTAGTAGATTGTTATAGAAGTTTTTGAAATGTGTGGTTGAAAAGTTGTGACCCGTGAAAGATGTGATTAATATTGATTGTTTGACTTTGACTTAAATTAAAAACAGATTTTAATCCGTACCAAACGGGTTGTAGATATACTCTTGTGCCTAGTTGGAGCTGTTCTAATGATTGTCCTACTTGATCTGTTGTCTTGATCCAGGATGCCTCGTCAGTGGCAGGAGAAGCAAGAAACAAGCTTTTAGAACGTGGAGAAAAGCTTGAGGTGAATTCATATGTTATACATGATTTCGAATATTTCCCCAGTACATCATCCCTCATTTTTCTCATGTTATCTTGGAATTTCCAATCGTTCTTAATGCTTGAAACTCCGAAGAAATGGCATATATGGAATACTAGATATGAATGTATCTTGTTTGGACTACTATATCTATTGATTCCTATTTGGAGTGTGGATTGGGTTTGTGTGTGGAAAGGCATGGAGCACCTCATCAATTGGACAATATGACAAATGCCTAAAAATTTCCAGCTTTGTTGCAGTCTGTTTTATAGCAACCTAATGAGAATACATATAATTAGCCTCGATTCTCATCTTTAGCTTTCAATGGCTCTCCATAATTGCTTTTTATGCTAAAGGTTTTATCATCTATTATGGGTTGCTTAGCTTCTCTTTCATTCACGTATAATTTGCTAGAAATGATACTTGTATTATAATCTGTAGTTACTAAAGTATAATCGATCTTCGTGTGGGTTTGAATTTGAATGTTTCTTGGAATCATAACCATGCCAATGACCTTTAACGAACACCTACATTTTTCTTGGTTCAGAGAATTAGCAGACGAACTGCGGAACTCCAAAGTGGGGCTGAAGACTTTGCATCATTAGCTAACGAGCTTGCAAAAGCAATGGAAAATCGAAAATGGTATCATATATAATACCAGTTTTGTCCTCTTCAATTCTTCGCGTAATGGAACTTATCCCTTCCGATGGACGACTGAAGCTTGATAGTCGAAAATCAGATGGTTAGACATCACTTTGTCGTATATCTGATCTACTATAGATGAGGCTCTTCTGCAGAGATATCAACTCTTTTTTTACCATTGATATTCCAGAGCAAGGGAGGTTAAGTTATTCCTGCGTGTTTAGAATGTTTTTGGCCTGCGTGTTGCCTAGAATCATTTTGAAATAACTTATTTATGGTGGTGTTGAGATTTTATTACATTAAACGCAAAATGTATGCATATATGTATATATATATTTATGAACAGTGTACATAAAAATGAAGTTGTGGAGTTGATTGAAATGAATGGTTGAAAATGAAATTTGATCAATGTGTGATAGGACCATGGGCATACACGATTGTCCACTCAAATCACAAAAGTTTGAATTCCAAACCACCTTCACAATGATCAAATGTTCATATTTCCCAATTTCTCCTTTCATACGTCACTCTTTCGCTCCTATGACGTGTTTGATTTGAACTTTCGAATGGTTAACTGAGGCGACTTTATCTTCTCTATTTATGAAATTTTAAGTCAATGAAATTGTTTAACTTATATATATATATTAGATTCATTTTTATAAGACATATTAGATTCATTTTTATTTTAAAACATAAGACATATACTTTATCGAATAAGAAGAATTCATGATGCTAATGTTAAACATACATAAATATCCAAAATAAAATCTAGATTTTTCTACCGTGTCAAATATTATTACAAGTTGAACATGCCCAAGTCTTAAAAATTGTTCCATTAAATAAAAGTTGTATTAAGATCAAGATACGTGACAAATTACCTATGCATGATCGTGATTTAACTAATCCAAAAACACTAATTTTTATACATGCATACTTGTTTAATTTATCAACTTACCCCATAAGTAGAGCAAAAATAAGTAGAAAATGAAGCATCCACTTATTACCAACCTAAAAGTTCAAGTTCCTTGTAAAACTTGTGCACACGAGTGCCCAACAGGGCTTTGTGTACAATAAAGTCACTTTGACTTGGTCGTACAATAATAGTGATGGCAGTGGGGCGGATTTGGGACGGGACTTCCCCCCCTCGTCCCGCCCCGCCTCAAACGGGACGGGGCGGGGCGAAGTCACGCCCTATTTGTCGCCCCGCTTAATTTTTTAATTTTTAATTTTTTTACATTTTTAAAATTTCAAATTATGTTATTATTAGAGAATAAAATATAAATTCAAAATTTTAAAATTCAAAGTAAACACTTGAAATAAACAATGTTAACAATTAAACAATTTCAAATAAAATTACGTTTTGACTAAATTTTATTTCTTTTGTAATTAATTAAAATTTTACATTTGTATTTTATTATCTAATAATAATATAATTTGAAATTCTAAAAATGTAAATCACGGGGCGGGGTGACGGGGCACCCCATCCCGCCCTGCCCCTCCCCACCAACCCATCGGGGCGGATTTTTTTGCCCCACTCGGGACGGGACGGGTTTTTTTGCCATCACTAGACAATAATATTAAATACCATGTGTCGTTATTCTTTTCAATTATTGAAAGAACCTAACGAAATTTCCGTGTATTGGACAAGCTTGGAATAGCATTTTTACTATGTTTGGTAATATAAATTAAGATTGTACTCAAGAAAAAAAAATTAAAATTTTATTAATTATTTGACGTTCCTTAACAATAGCTTATAAGTTCTCTCTTTTATTTAGCCAAAGAAAACTTTTTAATTTCAACTAAACATTCATAATTATCCCCTATTTATAATTTACACATTATCCAATGTTACTCTTCTTTAAAGTTAGTAATAAACTTACTTGAATAGAGACAATTTTACTTATTCTTTTTTAATTACTCGTCACTCTATTTGAGAGTTTATATAGTTAAATTGTCGATGACTTGTACATAAACAAATGTTATTTGCTTAACAAGGTTTGTGCAAAACATGGGGTGAATAACTTTTGTAGCAAAAATTGAAATTCAATATTCCAAATTATAATTTTTCACATTGTTCATAGTACAAGTGTAAATTGGATTGACATTCTTAGACTGATATAACTATATCCATATTTGAGTAAAAGTGTCGTAGAAAATATACACATTGTGTTAATGTGACCTAACTCAATTGATATGATAGTTGACATTTCTCTCCAATAGATGGAGTTAGCTGAAGTCCGAGGTGAACTCACTAATTGGTGACATTATTGTCCCAATTCCAAAATGTTTGATATGTTAATTTTTCTTTTCAATGGCCACCATTGCATTACCATAAGTTCAAATTTTCACCATGTGATAGATGCAACATGATCAAGTAAGTTGATGGCCAAAAATATATGACTAGAACTTGTAATTAAATGCTTGATTCAGGGGCGAAGACAATAAGATATATTAGGGTGGGCTGAAGATTGATTTTTTTCATAGATGTTCTTTGTCACTCGAGATTTAGTTTAAAATGTTAAATTCTTGACGCTAATGACAAAGTGGATCAAAATATATTTTTGGACACTCAAAACAAAGTTCTAGCAAATATATTTTTAACTGGTAAATGTAAATATAACACATATTACTTATTTTGATAATAACATCTGTTTCGTGGTCGAAATAAATAAATTTTAACTCACAATTATGAATAAGTAATATATCAAAAAATACGTTAGAAAAAATTAATTACTTTTAAACTTAGTCAAACATGTGACATGTCACAATAAGTTATTTATCTTTACTTTAATCAATAAAAAATATTTGTTACATAATAAATTAATTTGATTATAAATGAACTATTTAAATTTGAATAATTGAACATTGGGCTTGGGTTGGTAATGAACTTAATTGGGCTAAAATTAATTTTTTTAGCTAGGCTGAATTTTTATTCTTTTTTTTTTTTTTATGTGGAAATTACATCTCTACACAGGGTTTTTAAATTTTCAATTCAAAAATAAGAATGAAAGAATTTTTATTCAAAAATCAGATAATAATTATCTTTTAAATATTAATAATATTATTATAAAATTATGTTTATCTACAAACCGATCCATCTATTTTCCATCCCAATTTTACACCCAATCCTAATTCATTTATCTTCATCTTTGCTCTCCATTTTCTCTCTTTAATCCGTCTCTCACTCTCTACTCGCCCACCATATTTATCCGCCGTCAATCTGCCTTTCTTGCATCGGTATTCTTCGATTGTCGCGGTGTAGCAGGCGCCATATCTACTCCTCTTGCAGCTGTGGATTTGATAAGGCGACAGAGCAAAATGGCGCGATGCTGTAGTCGCTGTAGGCAGCAATGCTGCGATTGTAGAATACAATCGATTGTACAATTTGCAGCGCCATTGATGGTCGCACGACTTGCAGCGATGCGCACAGCGGTAATCGCACGACTTGCAGTGATGCGGCAATTGTGGACTTCAGTCTGTGGATTTGAAAAAGAGATGGTAGCGATGCCGTGGTGGCGACGGCGACAGCGGATCTGGGGATTTTTTGGTGGGTGTGGCGATTGTAGTGTAATGGAGATTGTGGTTGTGATTTTTGGTACAAAGGGTGGTGTTGCTGCAATTGCTGGCCGTGGTGTTGATGGTAAGATGGGGATGGAGGTTGCAGTGGTACTGCGGGTGGCGGTGCGGTGGCGATGATATTGATATTGACATTGGTCGTGGTTTTGTAGCTTAAAATGATGGTTTGTTTGTGGTGGGGGAGTGGTGGTGGTTTTGAAGTTGGAAATAGTGGTTTGTTGCTAGGAGGTGTTGACGAAGGTGCGACTAGAGGCACTGATAAATTGGTGGTCACAACGTAGTCACGAATTATTTGATTGGTTGTGAACAATAAATAGACAAATTATGATCAATAAATTATTTGTGAAATAAAAATTTGTTAATTTGTGACAAATAATTTGATTATTTTTTATCGCCATGATTTATAAATTTGTGATTTATGACTAATAAAGAAATTGTGACCTATAAATTTTTTGATTTGAAATCAGTGAACAAAATTGTGACTTATAAAATTTTTTATTTGTAACCGTAAAATATTTTGTGATCTATGAAATTTTTGATTTGTGATTGAAAATAATTTGTGACTTGTTAAATTGTTAATTGTGATCAAATTGTATAGAATTGTGACTTTAATATATTTAATTAATTATTTCATAAATAAAATTTAATTAACATCTGATTTTTGAAATTTTAAACTTTATATCTTAGTTTTGAAATGAGGAATAGTTAATATTTTACATATGAAATTTTTACCTTTTTTATTCCACCAAGAATTTGGGCTGAATTTTCCATTTTTCTCAAGTGAATTTGCTTTTGGGTTGGGGCTGTGCTGTGCGACAATCTTGTTTGGTAAAGTTTGTTTACAAAAAGTTGGTCAATTTTTTTTTTTTTTTTTTTTTTTTACAAACATTTCATTGAACCCACAATTTCTATCCACTTTTCACTACTTACATAATGGGACTTGTCATTTTTTTTAATCAACTTTTAGTCATACAGTTCCTAAAATCCATCTTGAAGCGCATTAAGTAGTTGTGTGATGTTTGCTAAAGTAGAATTTTTTTTTTTTTTTTTTATGGATTTCTATAAAATTATTTTATTGAAAGACTGTGTGGTTAAAAATAAATTTGAAGAAATATGAGTTATCTAATCCCTCCAATATTTGTTAAATATACAATCGCTAAATTATATGTCAATGAATCACGAGGACTCATGATTTTCACATTGTTAAAAGTAGGTATCGACAAAAGTTTTGAAATTGTTGTCTCACTTGAACAAGTAATTTGACAGGCTCATCTTTGCAAGACTAAAGCTAAAAGCAGTCCATCCAATTCACATGTGCAACTTGTCAACATTGATGTTTACCTAACATAGACATTCTAGTACTTGAAATTGGATCTGTTCTTCACCAACTAGCAATTTGATTGAAATTATTTGTACCAACTCAATAAAAAGGATTATTCACTTTAGATAATTTTGACAAAAATTATATTTTTATTTGTAAAGTAGCATTTGACTGCTCGATGACCGAATCCGAGAAGTTTCTCTTCTTCTCTCCATCACTCTTGGACGGATCATCTTGCTGCAAAACCTTTTAGAAATAAATATATTGAAAGACAACGATTACAACTACTTAATGTTAGAAAAAATACTAGTCGATGTATGTATTATAGATATAAATTCTTGTTTATTTAATACGTGGCAATGTGTACACTAGTTGAAAAAAAGTTAGGCAGATTTAGTAATTAAGTTTAATATAAAGCATGACACCTCAAACAACTACAAGTCATTGAGGTATAGAAAGATTGAAGTGGGAATTTAATCTATAA